TCTTAGTCATCCTTCATGACCCCAGTCAATTCTCATCTCCCCAGGAAGGTTTTCCCGATCTTCCCAGCCCATGGTAGCTTCACCTCCAAAGCTGTCCTGCATTTTATGTCTCTAACACCCATGTCACTTAAAAAAAAAAATGCATTTTGCTCACTCTACTCCCTAACTTTGAAACAAGTTACATTAACCTCTCTGGACCTCAGTTTCCTAAGATCTCTCCAGCACCAACAGTCCATGATTATCTTTGCATAACAGTACCCTCCATGTACAGTGTTTTGTAGTGTACAAAACTTCCCATACATAATCTCATTTCTAACCTTTTCTTGAATACCTCCCACCTCAACGTACCAGTGGTTTCATTCATTTACACTTTTGCCCATAAATGCTCTGCCTCAGTGGTCCTCAGTCTTGGATAGGCTTTGGAATCAAATGAGATTAAAAAAAAAAAAAAGATTCCTGGGTTTCAGGCTCCAGAGCTTTTGATTCCTCAGGTCTCGGGTAGGCCCTGGAATTTGTTCCCTACGTGGCTCCTTTTTTCTTTTCTTTTTCCCCACCCAAGGGGAGTTTGGTGAGTTTTATTTATTTTTTGGCCACACCACATGGCGTGCAGGATCTGAGTTCCCTGGCCAAGGGTTAAACCCGAGGTCTCATCAGCAGTAGCACAGAGTACTAACCACTGGACTGCCAAGGAGTTTCCCCATAGGTAACTCTTGATCAGTCCTTAGAACTATATAATTCCATAAGTCATATGATTTAGAAAGTAAGAAAATTATCCTTGTTAATACATAAGTCATTTTTCTGACAACAAGATATAAAGAAATCCTTTAAATAGTTAAATACATAGTCCTAAGTGAACATTTAGTCTCTTGTACTCAATCAATAGCTATCCTCCCTGAGTTTTTACTGTATGTTGGACACCATACATCTATTACTTCATTTAATCCCCATTTACAGAAGAGAAAACTGAGACCAGACAGGTGAAGCAACTTACACAAAATCATTCAGATAATAAGAGCCAGGATTCAAATATATTCTGTGTAATATCCCAATCCATGCTCTATTTAAACCACTATATTGCCTCTTTTTTTAATATTGCCTCTTTAAATGAATAATTTTGTAACTGTGAACCCACATATACATAATATAGAAAGGAAAACTTATTACAAATTTTTTTTGTAATAAGTTGATTGATTAATTACAATCATGCTTTCATGTAGCTACCAAGTACTACCAGGTAAATATCTTATCCTTTTTAGGTTCAAAGATAATACAACCATTTTTATGAGCTCTAATGAGCTCTAATTTCTACTTATGTATATAATGTACTCAATTTTCTAAATAAAAATAAGGAACAGAAATGCAAAAGTTTTTGCAGAAGTTTTGCAAAAATGTACTAGTACAGTAACTTGTAATATAAATTCCTAAAACATTTAAATACTGAAAACTTCAACTTTTCATCATGAGAAAGTGTTGAGTCTGCCAAGTCATTTTGCTTTTCTTGACATTTTCATTCCAAAAGTACATGTGAATAATAAAAATTGTAATTATGCTTTTTCTAGTCTTGCAAGAAGCAAGAGGTCTTAAATATCTTCTGAAATCCTCAAGAGTAAACGATGAACCCAGTAGTCTCTCCTTATATTCCAAGAAGTTTGAATAAGCAAACTTTGGAATACTTACTATCAAAGTCAGTAGACAAATATGGCCTCTCCTTGAAATTACTAGGGTAACAAAGGTCAAGATATTCATACAGGTATGTTAGATAAGCTTTGCTTGACAGGTCCACATAAAAAAAGCTAATTATACACTATGATACAGGTAACTTCTTAGAGATCAAACGTGACCTCAAGCATACCACAGGTATCTTCCTTACTGATACACTAAGCGTTTGTTACCCCACCATTGTAATTATCGCACTAGCACAGTACATCCGTAATTTTATCTCATAACAACACTTAAGCAGTGTAGTTATCTTTTTCATGCCAACTCTCAATTATCATTGTTCACAGGCTTTAGAGATTGGGAGGAGTCAGGACAGGTTGCTTGAGTGTATAGAATTTTGGACATGGCTGCTAAGAAATTGGATCACATGTAAACTGTGTTTCCCATTTATAAGTGAAGTCGCTCAGTTGTGTCCAACTCTTTGCCACCCCATGGATTATAGCCTGCTAGGCTCCTCTGTCCATGGAATTCTCCAGACAAGAATACTGGAGTGGGTTGCCATTTCCTTCCCCAGGGGATCTTCCTGACCCAGGGATGGAACCCAGGTCTCCCACATTGCAGGCAGATGCTTTACCATCTGAGCCACCAGGGGAGCCCCATTTATAAGCCTTGCAGTTAATTCATGGCCAATTTCTGTTCCCTTCAACTTCCCTTTACTTTCATAATTTTGCAACTACTCATTCTTCCTCTACAGAAATAACTCACCTTTCCCTTTGTCCTTCCTAGGACATACTTAGATGACCAGAGAAGAGCTAAATGTGTAGGTTAGACTGGGAGGAGTGCAGAAGAAAAGAAGCACTAATTATTATTCTTCCCTGGCCAAGAGCGCTCTGGGAACTGCTCTCCTGTGTTTCCCATTTGTAGTGATGTACTCGTTTGGTAAAAAGGAGAAAATATTTCTATATTGTCCTTTTTTTTGTCCCTACTTATTCTAGGGACAAGCTATTAATAGACAAGATAGCACTGCATTTACTTTAGCTTTCTGTCTTAAAATATTTCTCAAAATATTTTTAACTGTTCACTCCAAGTGAACAAAAGATGACAGATAATTCTGTGACAAATATTTGAAGAACAGATGAATTGCACATTCCTTTTATATGCCTGATTGTATATTTCAAAGTAGAGCCTTATCAGCTTTATAATATCTCAGCAATTTTACTACACCTGCCTTGTTGCAAGCTGCTTAAATAGCACAACTCATGTCACAAACAACATGTCAGCAATTGTCACTAAATGAAAAAATTTTTTTTTAATTTTCAAGTAATTTTAGTTTTGCAGAACAGTTGCAAAGATAGTACAGAGAATTCCCATGTACCTTAACCCTGTTTCCCCTAATGTTCACATCTTACGTAATCAGGATACCTTTATCAAAACTAAGAAGTTAACACCAGCACAGAACTATTAAACAAACTATGGACTTTATGCAGACTTCTACAGTTCTCCCACTGATGTCCTTTTCTCATTCCAAGATCCAGTTGGAGATTGCATTTAGCTGTCCTGTTTTCCTTGGTCTTCTCCAATATAGGACAATTTCTTGATCTTTTTTCTTTGTCTTTCATGACCCTGACAGTTTGAAGAGTAGTAGCCTGGTATTTTGTAGATTTCCCTCAGTTTGTCTCACGTTTCCCATGAAATTATATTTTGTGGGGAAACCATCACATAGATGATGATATCATTTAATCATAGCAGGTAGTACATGGCATTGACATGGTCTGTTATTAGAGATGTTAACTTTGATCACTGGGTTAAGGTGGTGTCTGCAAATTTCTTCACCACAGTTACTGTTTCTCTTTCATATTCTCTTCATCAAAAGTGAGTTACTGAGTCCAGCCCACAGTCAAAGGGAGGAGAATTAAGCTACCCCTCCTGGACGGAGTGAAGAATCTGCAGGCAATATGGGAGACCTGGGTTCAATCCCTGGGTTGGGAAGATCCCCTGGAGGAGGGCATGGCAACACACTCCAGTATGCTTGCCTGGAGAATCCCCATGGACAGAGGAGCCTGGTGGACTATAGTCCATGGGGTCGCAGAGGGGGACACAACTGAGCGACTAAGCACAGCACAGCACAGACCTAGAGTAAAGTAGTTTGAGGCTATGCAAATTACCTGTTTTGCCTTAAAGCTTTGCCTGATAATTTTAGCATTCATCAATATAACTTCCCTGCATCCAGTTATTGCTGTTATTCTAATGATGATTTCCTATTTCTCCATTTCTTCCATGTTTAATTGGAACTCAGCTTAAGGAACTCCTCTGTGTTTGTCTTTTGAATCTTGAAATCTCAGTGACTACAGACCTCAATTAGTATTCCCACTGGGAATGCCAAGGCAATGATATAGACTCTGTCTTTTACCTACAACCATCCCTAGAGTCTGAACAACTCCAATTTAAGTAAGATTTGAGAAGAAAGTTATCTTACTTATCTAAAATGCGCTTTATGGGCAATTTTGCATCAGGCTTAGAAATATCTGTGGTGTGAATTTTACAGCCTTGTGACTATGGCCAGTATTTTTAAACAAATGCAAATTCATTCCACGTACTCCTTTGACTGTGTTCTAGCAGCAGTCTCATGGACTGTATACATTCTCACCCAGAGGCAGAATATGAATGCAAATAGCAATGTTATAGCAGATCTACAATTAAAACTAGACTTTGAAAGTGTAATGACAGTTTAATCGAGCATATCAAGTGGCATGGTACTCAGTGAATACAAATTATATTTCAGAGACGTTGAAAATTCTGGCAAAAGTATTTAAAAAAAATACACAAGTATAAGCACTAATAAATTTCAACTGGGATTTTAATGTCTGCTTTTTAGTGTTTGAGATTTATTTCCAGTCCAATGCATTGAATAACTGTTTGAGTAATTATTTTTTTCTTAGTTGATTATTAACTGAGCCCCGTATAGACAAGTTATTTGTTAACCTTCCTAGAGAAAGTCATGGCTCCTAATCTGAACATATTATCTGCTCATATCATTGGTCAGATTGCTCAGCCAAAAAAAAAAAAAGAAATGAACCCATCTGTGCCTATTTTATCCAAGGGCCTAGAAATATCTTTAAGTGGTACTTTTAGAAAGATAAATCATGTGATGTTTCTCTTAAGAAATGTGTTTTGATAATGCCAGGGTGGGAAGCCTTTCAGTGTATTCACTGTTTTATTTCCTCATAGAATTAGCTTGAGGGGTTGGCATTCAAGAGGTCTATGAAACTAAGTAAAACTTAACTCGATTTTTAGTTGTGTTTTCAGGAAATTCCCATTAAAAAACTGTCCTTGCATTACAGGTAATTTCTCGGCATACCCGGAAGCTGCTGGGAATTGAAGAGCCATTATTCACACGTTCCATCCGCCGTCCCTACAGAGACAATATTGGCTTATTTCTAGAGAGAAAAGGTCATAGTGGAGTTAAGTCTGATTCCTTGACCTTGTCTGAATTTGTGCGAGAAGCGGGATTACAGGATTATGCTCCACGGGTGACCACCCTAGAAAATGACGCAGCATTATATTCCATTGACCTGTAGGGCAAGCTGGTTCACTTCACTTGAAAATCAAACTAAATTATGTGGGGGAATAAATGAGGCATTTCTGTGTTTTCTTTCTCCTCTTCATTCAGAATCAGAGTTTGAACTGCTGGTCCATTCCTAGTTCTGCCACTGACTCACAGCGCCCTCCCTTTATTTATGTTTCAACTTTGCCCCTTATTAAAACAAAGATAGCAATAGCTCCCCTTCTGGGTAACTATAAGACTTCCTGATAAATTCTAGTACTTCATCTGGTTTTAGAACACATTGGGAAAACATAACAAAGTAAAATCACCTGCCAACTTAGATAATCCCAGATAATTATTGAATCAGCACTAAATCAGACTGCGATGCACATTACAGGCAGGTCACTAAAGAGACTGCTGAGACAAGGACCTCTCACCCTTTTATATAGCCAGGCAGATATGATCCATTCTTGACATGTTAACTGTCTGTATCCAAAAGAAATTAAAACTTTTCATATCTTTGTGACAAACAGAAAGTTACTACCTGGAGCCAAGTCCTTAGGCTAAACTCCCAGCATCAGGAAGACAAAGTGCCCCTGAAATGCTCACATTTCAAAGTGGCTTCAACAGCCCTGCCCCCAGAAGACAGTCCTAGGATGGGAAACTGGCAGAAGGTTCATTCACTTTTTAAAAAATACTAGCATACATCTCCAAAACAGAGAAAAAGGATTTAAATTACAAGTTTTTCAAAGAAAATGTTTTATGAAAAAGTGGGAGCAGTAATCATTCCTTTTTGGCGTCAGAGAAGAAAAATTTTTAAATATCTTTTTAGATTTGTTTTTACCTGTTAAAATAGCGTGGCTTATAGAAGTATCACAGACCATGGATACTGACAGACAGTCTGGGGGTTGTCTACAAGGCTTTCTATGCGGTACCACCAGACTTTTACAAAATGAAATGCATGACTGGACTGCTCACAAGAAATTTAAAATACTTTTTGTTGCTTGAATGACTCCGATTCCTCTCCACTTTCATAGACTTTTAACTTCTCTTTCTCTTCCCAGGCACACTTCTTAATCCTAAAAACCACTGTACCCTCTCCAGTTCCTTACACCTGAATAAATATTCAAAAGAATCCTTTTTTGTTTTTCCCAGTGAGAGAAAGAACAGTGCCTCAATTTAGCTTTCATACCAAGAATATTAATGTTTGATGATGAACCTAATCTTTTCCCTAAGCAGAGTAACAAAATTTTATCTTAGACCATTTAAGATAGTACCACTGAGTCTGCTTGGCTCACAAGCATGCAAAAGAAAAAAATGTAAATGATTAACCTAAGACCATAGTGGTTTCTATGTACAGTGAATAGCTTTGTTCGAAAGCACTTTAGCATTCTAACAGTAGTTCTGTTTAGTGACAGCATAGTCACCACCATCCTTTCTCAACTTGATTGTTACTAACACTGTTTTCTATTCTGATTGACATAAAATAATTGCAAAACGTGAAATAAATCTGAACTGTGCCGTGCTTAGTTGCTCATTTGTGTCCGACTCTTTGTGACCCCCTAGACTGTAGTCCGCCAAGCTCCTGTGTCCATGGGGCTTCTCCAAGCAAGAATACTGTGATTGTTTACCACACATCCTATTTTTTCTATTCAAACTGTAGGAAAATCAAGGTGTTTCATTTGTTAGCTACATACCACTACAGGGAAAGAATGTAACTATGTACTGTAGCTACATATTATAGTTACATGCTGCTATAGAAATGTATACGCCATATAGAATGTAGTTACATACTGCTATAGGAAAAGAATGCTACAGAAAAAGTATGTAACCATCTAATAATGACAGTATAGCTTCTTGAATTTAGCATTTAGATGACATAATTTGAATTTACTGAATTGATATTTAGCTGCTGGGGAAGCAGCTTACTTAAATGTGTCAGTTTATGTAGTTTCATTCAGTTGCTTTCAAAAGCCAGACACACCCAAACATACTGATGTAAAGAACTTTTATTCTAGATTTTAAAGAGCCATCAGTACAATTTTGTAATTCGTCATTGCCTAACATATGGGAAACACCAGACAAATACATGACTTCCACTGACAGTTGGAATAATAAAAGCACTACCTGATTAGAAGGAGAAAAATTCATGATTCCTGAGATGTCTCTTCTCTTATTGGGATGGAGAACCCGTGGAAACCTCTGGTTCTTGTTCTTTGGTTAGGGAGATGCCAAATGAGTCACAGTATAGATGTATAAAGCGGTCCTGAAAAGTAGTGCTGTTTGACAGATACTGGCTAAAGGGAGTTTCCTTGAGTTGCACAGTAGTCAGATCAAACAAGGGGAAAGGCCTGGGGTAGGGAAAAAAATACTGTTACTGTTTTATGTCTGTTTAATACATGTGATTATCTGTTAAACATTGCCTTTAAAGAAAGTTTTCTTCCCCTTGGAAGTAAGGTTCTTCATTTTCTATACCAAACTAATTAAAATTCTTAATTAAAATTTCATCTGGATCTATTCAATATGTGGATTTAATTGTACTTATGAATTTTCACATGTACAATTCTCTAAGTACATTTGGGGAGGAATTCATAACTGGGGAATGATTATGATAATAAAATCAACATCCTTTTTGGTATATTTTTCTTGAATTTAGATAGAAAATACATAAGAGGATCATAGAAATTAGAAATGGGAGAGACCTCATTTCTTTTACAATATCCTCTTAAAAAAAACAAAAAAACCTCTTCAACTGTTTAGAGAAAGAAAGAGTTAACATGCAAATAAAAATGGGGCAGTGTTAAGTATTAGTCTATAGTGGAATTCAAGTTAAAAAGCATTAAGATGTAGAGTTTTATAGTATTTAAAAATCAATAGTAAGGCAAGGATATATGCTTTTATGACACTTATTCAACATACCACTGGAAGTTATAGCCAGTGCAATAAGGCAAGAAAAGGAAGTAAAGGCATACAGATAGGAAAGGGAGAACTGAAATCATCAGTATTTATAGACGACATCATTGTCTATGTAGAAAAATCCAAACAAATCTACAAAAAAATCTCCTAGAGCCAATAAATGAATTCAGCAAGGTCACAGGATATAAAATAAACATAGAAAAATAAATTTTGTTTATATATATTGGCAATGAACACTTGGGCAATGAAATTAAAAACGTAGTCCCTTTCACACACACAAAATGGAATACTTAGTGTAAATCTAACAAAACATGTAAAGGACTTGTATACTGAAAACTACAAAATGCTGATGAAATAAGATAAATAAACAGAGACATATACTGTGTACATGGATGGAAAAACTCAGCATTATAAAGATGCCAGTTCTCCATGAATTGATCTGTCATGTAATGGTAAAACAAAAATTAATGACAACGCCAAATGCTGGTGAGGGTGTAAAGAAACTGAATTATACATTGCTAGTATGGTAAAAAGAATAACTTTGAAAAACAGTTTGCAGTGTCTTAAAAAAAACTAACATGCAACGAGTCATTGCACTCCTAAGCATCTGTCCCAAAGAAATGAAAACTTATGTTTATACAAAAACCTGTACATGAATGTTCAGAGCATCTTTATGCATAATAGCCAAAAACTGGAAACATCCCAAATGTCCTTCAACCAGTAAATGGTTTAACAAACTGTGGTACATATCTGCCATGAAAACTACTCAGCAATAAAAGGGAATAAACTGTTGATACACACAGCAACCTGGATGAATCTCCAACGAATTATACTGAATGAAAAAGGCCAGTCCCCAAAGTTGCATAATACATGATCCTGTTTATATAGTATTCTTGAAATGACAAAATCTTAGAAATGAAAAACAGCTCAATGGCTGCCAATTTAGGAAGAAACAACATGAATGATCCCTAGTTACAGAGCTGTTTTCCATCTTGACTGTATCAGTGTCAATGTCCTGGTTGTGGTATTGGCTATAGTTTTACAAATATCTACATATAGATACTGTACTATGGTTTGTTCGGGCACATGGGGTTTCTTTGTATTCTTAATAACTGCATGTGAATCAAAATTATCTTTTAAAAAGTTTTTAAAAGGGAGGGGGATAGAAGTAAAAAGTTTAATCCACCAGGAAGGTATAAAAATAGGAACTTCTGTGTATCAGATGATATGACTTCAAACCTTATAAAACAAAGATTAGAAATACAAAGATAATTTGAGAAACTACAATCATAGTGGAAATATTAATATGCCTTGCCTCCTGTTCAAACAGATCATCTGATGAAAAAAGACTGTAGAGCAGCACTTCTCCAACTTTAATGGGCACATCACCTGGGAGTTTGTAAAAGTACAGATTCTGATTCCATACATCTGGGGTGGGGCCCTGGAATCTACATTTCTAAACAAACTCACAGATGATGGCATGGCTGTATAGCAGTTTGAGTAGCAAGGATAGGTTGAAAAGGGGAGACATAAAGTGAAAAAATACTCTGAATGATAAGACAACCCCTAATACACATGCAGCTTTCTTTCCCTAAGTTGGGTCCCAAAGACTTAAAGATACAATATTCAGGCTTTCTCACAATCACAGAAAACTAACCAATCTGATCACATGGACCTCAGCCTTGTCTAACTCAATGAAACTATGAGGCATGCCATGTAAGGCCACCCAACGGATGGGTCACGGTGGAGAGGTCTGACAAAACGTGGTCCACTGGAGAAGGGAATGGCAAACTACTTCAGTATTCTTGCCTTAAGAACCCCATGAACAGTATGAAAAGGCAGAAAGATAGGACACTGAAAAATGAATTCCCCAGGTCGGTAGGTATCTAATATGTTACTGGAGATAAATGGAGAAATAACTCCAGAAAGAATGAAGAGATGGAGCCAAAGCAAAAACACCCAGTTGTGGATGTGACTGGTGGTGGAAATAAAGTAGAATGCTGTAAAGAACAATATTGCACAGGAACCTGGAATGTTAGGTCCATGAATCAAGGCAAATTGCAAGTGGTCAAACAGATGACAAGAGTGAACATCGACATTTTAGGAATCAGTGAATTAAAATGGACTGTAATGGGTGAATTTAACTCAGATGACCATTATATCTACTACTGTGGGCAAAAATCCCTTTGAAGAAATGGAGTAGCCATCATAGTCAACAAAACAGTCCGAAATGCAGTACTTGGATACAATCTCAAAAATGACAGAACGATCTCTGTTTGTTTCCAAAGCAAACCATTCAATATCACGGTAATTCAAGTTTATGCCCTGATCAGTAATGCTGAAGAAGCTGAAGTTGAATGGTTCTATGAAGACCTACAAGACCTTCTAGAACTAACACCCAAAAAAAGATGTCCTCTTCATTATAAGGGACTGGAATGCAAAAGTAGGAAGTCAAGAAATACCTGGAGTAATAGGCAAATTTGACCTTGGAGTACAGAATGAAGCAGGGCAAAGGCTAATAGAGTTTTGCCAAGAGAACGCACTGGTCATAGCAAACACCCTCTTCCAACAACACAAGAGAAGACTCTACACATGGACATCACCAGATGGTCAATACCAAAATCAGATTGATTATATTCTTTGCAGCCAAAGATGGAGAAGCTCTATACAGTCAGCAAAAACAAGACCAGGAGCTGCCTATGGCTCAGATCATGAACTCCTTATTGCTGAATTCAGACTGAAATTGAAGAAAGTAGGGAAAACCACTTGACCATTCAGGTATGACCTAAATCAAATCCCTTATGATTATACAGTGGAAGTGACAAATAGATTCAAGGGATTAGATCTGATAGACAGAGTGCCTGAAGAACTATGGACAGAGATTCGTGACATTGTACAGGAGGCAGGGACCAAGACCATCCCCAAGAAAAAGAAATGCAAAAAGGCAAAATGGTTATCTGAGAAAGTGAAGTCGCTCAGTCGTATCTGACTCTTTGCAACCCCATGGACTGTAGCCCACCAGGCTCCTCTGTCCATGGGATTTTCCAAGCAAGAATACTGGAGTGGGTTGCCATTTCCTTCTCCAGGGAATCTTCCCGACCCAGGAATCAAACCCAGGTCTCCTGCATTGCAGGCAGGTGCTTTAACCTCTGAGCCACCAGGGAAGCCCTAGAGGCCTTACAAATAGCTGAGAAAAGAAGAGAAGTGAAAGGCAAAAGATAAAAGGAAAGATATTCCCATTTGAATGCAGAGTTCCAAAGAATAGCAAGGAGAGATAAGAAAGCCTTCCTCAATGATCAGTGCAAAGAAATAGAGGAAAACAATAGAATGGGAAAGACTAGAGATCTCTTCAAGAAAATTAGAGATACCAAGGGAACATTTCATGCAAACATGGGCTCAATAAAGGACAGAAATGGTATGGACCTAACGAAGCAGAAGATATTAAGAAGAGGTGGCAAGGATACACAGAAAACTATACAAAAAAGATCTTCACAACCCAGATAATCACGATGGTGTGATCACTCACCTAGAGCCAGACATCCTGGAATGCGAAGTCAAGTGGGCCTTAGGAAGCATCACTACAAACAAAGCTAGTGGAGGTGATGGAATTCCAGTTGAGCTATTTCAAATCGTGGAAGATGATGCGGTGCAAGTGCTGCACTCAATATAAGCAAATTTGGAAAACTCAGCAGTGGCCACAGGACTGGAAAAGGTCAGTTTTCATTCCAATCCCAAAGAAAGGCAATGCCAAAGAATGTTCAAACTACCACACAATTGCACTCACCTCACACGCTAGCAAAGTAATGCTTAAAATTCTCCAAGCCAGGCTTCAACAGTACATGAACTGTGAACTTCCACATGTTCAAGTTGGAACAGGCAGAGGAACCAGAGATCAAGGTGCCAACATCCACTGGATCATCAAAAAAGCAAGAGAGTTCCAGGAAAACATCTACTTTAGTGACTACGCCAAAGTCTTTGACTGTGTGGATCACAACAAACTGTGGAAAATTCTTCGAGATGGGAATACTACCCCAACTGACCTTCCTCCTGAGAAATCTGTATGCAGGTCAAGACGCAACAGTTAGAACTGGACATGGAACAATAGATTGGCTCCAAATAGGGAAAGGACTATGTCAAGGCTGTATATTGTCACCCTGCTTATTTAACTTATATGCAGAGTAAATCATGAGAAACACTGGGCTGGATGAAGCACAAATTGGAATCAAGATTGCCGGAAGAAATATCAATAACCTCAGATATGAAGATGACACCACACTTATGGCAGAAAGTGAAGAACTAAAGAGCCTCTTGAGGAAAGTGAAAGAGTAGAGTGAAAAAGTTTGCTTAAAACTCAACATTTAGAAAACTAAGATCATGGCATCCAGTCCCATCACTTCATGGCAAATAGATGGGGAAACAATGGAAATTGTAACAGACTTTTTTTGGGGGGGGTGGGGGCTCCAAGATCACTGCAGATGGTGATTGCAGCCATGAAATTAAAAGACACTTGCTCCCTGGAAGAAAAGTTATAACTAACCTAGACAGCATATTAAAAAGCAGAGACATTACTTTGCCAACAAAAGTCCATCTAGTCAAAGCTATGGTTTTTCCAGTAGTCACGTATGGATGTGAGAGTTGGACTTTTAAGAGAGCTGAGCGCCAGAGAATTGATGCTTTTGAACTGTGGTGTTGGAGAAAACTCTTGAGAGTCCCTTGAACAGCAAGGAGATCCAACCAGTCCATCCTAAAGGATATCAGTCCTGAATATTCATTGGAAGGACTGATGTTGAAGCTGAAACTCTAATACTTTGGCCACCTGATTCAAAGAACTGACTCATTTGAAAAGACCCTGATGCTGGGAAGGATTGCAGGCAGGAGAAGGGGACGACAGAGGATGAGATGGTTGGATGGCATCACCAACTCAATGGACATGAGTTTGAGTAAGCTCCAGGAGTTGGTGATAGACAGGGAAGTCTGGCGTGCTGCAGTCCATGGGGTCGCAAAGAGTTGGACACGACTGAGCAACTGAACTGAACTGAAGGAAAAGCTGATCAAATCACTCTACAGTAGAGGCCATGTAGCAAACACAGAGTATCCAAGCAACTTTTCAGTAACCAGGATCTTAAATATGAGCAGACAGGCAAGGTTTTCCATATACTTGAAAGAAAAACTCTAAAATGAATGATGGAGAGCAAAACAAATGATCAGAAAACTTCCAAAGGAAACAGACTTCTCAGAAGAGAAAAAAACTCTATCATTTACATTCTCAAAGGATAAGAAATGGTATTGCATAGGAAAATGACAATACTATGTAGGATGCTACATAAAAAAGGAATATTTGGAGACTAAAGAAATATTTGAAAATGAAAATGTGTTGTAAATATAGTAGCAAAAACAAAAGCAAGATAGTTGAGGCAATCTCTCAGAAAGCAGGGGAAAAAGACAAAAATACTGAAAATAGGAGAACTAAAAAAAAAAATCAAAAGTTCAGCCCAGCAGATCCAACACTGGGCTAATAAAATATTCAGAAGGAAGAAAAGAGGAAACAGGGAATGGGAGGAAATTATCAAAGACATATCTGGAGAAAATCAGAGAACTTAACATGCAGATTGAAAATGACCATTGAATAGTCTGTTTCTTTCATGGGTGGCAATTACATGTATATTTGCTTTACAATAACTCATTAAACTGTATATTCATGAATTTATGGAATACATAGTTTTCTGTGTATATGTTATATTGTACAATTCTTTTTTTTTAAGTTAAGGGAAAAAAAGGGAGAGGCCCATCAAGTGTCCAATCCAGTGAATTAAAATAGACCTACATCATGACACATAATAAAATTTCAGGATGCTGAGAGCAAAAGATACTATAAGCTTCCAGAGAGAAAACAAGCAGGTTTCACACCAAAAATGAACTGAAGAATTAGAATGGCACTCTACCTCTCTACAGCAGCTCTAAAAGCTGAAAGACGACAGAGCACTACCTTCAAAATTCTGAGGGAAATTACTGCTAACCTCGATTCTACACCTTGGCTGTGTTTTCAATAAAATATTAGTGTAGAATAAAAACATTGTCAGACATAGTCCTTAATTACTACACAGCCTTCATGAAAGAAGCTAGTGCAGGAGAGCATATTCCATCATAATGAAGAAGTAGATGAAGCCAGAGGAGGAGGGGTCCAGGAAAAAGAGCTCCAACATAAGAGAAAGGCCAAGGGAGTCCTAGGAAAAGGCGGGAGGAAGAGTCCCAAGCTGAAAGTGTCACAGGTCACTAGTGACTGATTAGAATAGAAAACACAAGAGCCTTCCCTGGTGGTCCAGTGGGTAAGAATCCACTTTCCAATGCAGGGGACACGGTTCGATCCCCGGTCAGGGAACTAAGATCCCTATGCTGCAGGGCAGCTGAGCCCACGCAATGCAACTCGAGAAGCTTACTTGCCGCAGCGAAGACCCAGCAGAGCCCAAAGGGAAGGGGAGCAGGCAAGGGGGAGAATCAAGGATTTCTTCCAGGTTTCGGGCTGAACAACTCTTCCAAGGAACGTGTAATTAGAAACACTCGAAGGGCAGGCCTGCGAGCAGGGATGCTTTTAGACATGTTAAGTTTCAGTGGAGATAGTGAGTGTTAACTTAACTGGATGAGGAACTGACATCTAGGCAAGGCATGTAGGAGTCCTGTGCTGGCAGAGTAAAGATGGCAACCTAAGTCCCCACAGTGGAAAAGATCACCCAAGAACAAAGTGTAGGCTGAGAAAAGAAGGCTTCTGACAGAGCCCCGAAACTCCCAGATTTAAGGATGGGGCAGAAGAGGACCTGGCAAAAGCAGGATAAAGGGACAGGAGGAAAATGAAGAGCATATGAGTGTATCAGGAAAACTAAGAGACGTGATTGTTTCAGGAAGGATGGTATGTTCAATAGCCAAGGAAGAAAAGGATTTAGAAGTGTCCCGTGACCATGCTCCTACTATAGGTGGCTCAGGTTCAGTCCCTGGTTGGATAACTAAGATCCCAAAGGCTGTGAGTGAGTGTGGCCAAAATAAATAAACACTTTTAAAAAAGAATGGTAAATTCTATGTTATGTGTATTTTACCATAATTAACAAGAAAATTGTGAATCCCATAAACTCTGGACTTTAGGAATAATAACTCGCCACATGAACGCTAGGGGGTTGTAGGGGAAACTGCAGGTCAGGAGGCAGGTGCTCTATGGGAACTTTCTGAACCGTCTGCTCAATTTTTCTGTAAACTTCAACTTGCTCTAAAAAAAATAAAATCTATTCTTTTAAATAAAAAAAAAGTACCCAGTGAATTTAGTGACATGGAAGTCTCTGGTAACAAGGGCAACCATTTGTCCCCATTAGATTATTAAAGATTAAAAAGAATGATCTAATAGTTACGAAACTATAGTGAAATGGCACTCTCATGCACTATTGCTGGAAATATAAGTAAGCATCATGTTTTTGATAGGTAATTTAGGAATATCTATCAAACATAAAATATATATAACCTCTGACCCAGAAATTCTACTGGTACAAATGTGCAAAGTTTAAGGATAAAAATGTTCAAAGCAGTTCCTTTATGCAAAATGTGGGGCCAGGGTACAATGCCATTAAGAGGAAATAGAATAAATAAATGCAGTTAAAGAAACATATCCACCAGGACATATGTATACCTAGGGCTGAGTCATGCTGATATATGGCAGAAACCAACATGATATTGTAAAGCAGTTATCCTCTAATTAAAAATAAATAAATTAAAAAAAAAGAAATGTATCCAACAGATGTTTACACTATCCTCATAAATGAAGTACATATTATTGTACTAACACAGAACAATACCTATGACATAGTAACTATAGTATCCATGTTTCTAAAATGTATATATAGATAAAGATATGCATACACATTATACTATAATGCTAATATACATATATGTTTGTAAATACATAGATGAAAAGACAAAAATATAAAAGTGATTAGAGGTGAAGTCTATAAAAAGGGATTGGGGGGGCAAAAGAGGGCTCTCATTTCTCCACTAGTTGGATTTTTTTTCCTAAGAATGTATTATTTTTATGAATTTTTAAAAAGAACATTAAAGGAAAAATATTAAAAGCATCTGCTAAGACAACAGTGTGGGAGAAGTTCGAATGGCCACTGTCTGATACTTTACCGTTTCTGAGACAGGTTCTTGGCATAGATCTTACTGACAAAATCTTGGGCTTGAAATTTTAAGGGCGCTGCTTTGTCCTCCTTACAGGCCTCGAGGTGCTGGGAGGAGAACAGTTCGCTCAGATGCTGCAGCACTTGTGAGTGGGGCATGTCCTTTGCTGTGCAGAAGTTTAAGAGTGCATAGAACATCCCCTCCAGCCACTTGATGTTGAGGCTTATTCCCCCTAAACATCAGTGAGGAAGGAAACACCAGTGAGCCCACCAAAAAATGTCTATAGGGAACCTCGGACAAACCCCAGACAGAGGACAGCTGCCTTCTATCCAAGACAGTGTGGTTCTATGGACTTGGACATAAGCAAACACTCTTCCTTGCCAGACCGAGAGCCTGGGTGTGCCCTTTGTAACCCGCCATGTGTGGACCCTACCTGCAGATAGGTTAGTGCAGACATTGCTAATGGCAAATGCATCTTGGGAAATCTGTGGCATGGTTCTTTGCAATAAAGCACACTGCAAGATTACAGTCAGGAAAAGCCATTTGGTCCCAGAGGCTGCATCCTTTTGTTTAAACAGGCTCTCCTCTCTGGCTGTTTCCAACTCATCCTTAGAGGGTCTGATTAATCACACTTCTCAGCTTTTCCTTTAAAAAGCCTGCTTTTTTAAAAAATTCTTTTTTTTTAAGATTTTTTTAACATGTGGATCATTTTTTAAAGACTTTACTGAATTTGTTACAATATTGCTTCTGTATATATATATACCTGTCGCTAAGCTGGTAAAGAATCCACCTGCAATGCAGGAGATCCGGGTTTGATCCCTGGGTTGGGAAGAACCCCTGGAGAAGGGAATGGCTACCCACTCCAGGATTCTGGCCTGGGGAATTTCATGGACTGTATAGTCCACGGGGTCACAAAGAGTCGGACACAACTGAGCGGCTTTCAGCTTTCATATATATTTGTAATTTATTTTACTTTTGGCCATGCTGGGTCTTCGCTGTTGTGCGGGCTTTTCTCCAGTTGCTGCAGGCGGGGGCTGCTCTCTAGCTGTGATGTACGGGCCCCTCGTTGCAGCGGCCTCTCTGGCTGCAGAAAACGAGCTCCAGGGCACTCAGGCTTCAGTGGTTTTGGCTCCAGGGTCTAGAGCACTGGCTCACAAGTGGCACAACGGCGCAGCTGCTTTGCGGCACGTGGGATATTCCCAGATCAGGGACTGAACCTGTATCTCCTGCATTGGCAGATGGATTCTCCACCACTGAGCCTTCAGGGAAGCCCTGCTTCTGTTTTTTATGCTTTGGTTTTTTTTGGCCACGAGGCATATGGGATTTTAGCTCCCCAACCAGGGATCGAACCCGAACCCCCTGCTTTGGAAGGCAGTCTTAATCACTGGACTGGCAGGGAAGTCCCTAAAAAGGTGCTTTTTGCCACCAAAGTTGTTCCCATATAAAACCTAAGTAGCTGAGAATGCCATCTAGTCCCCCACACACACCCTGAGCACAATCACACCGGATTTAATACGACAGCAGCAGGTCAAGAGGAAGGTAATTTTCAAAAGTGCCAAAAATTTGGTGAGCCCTTACCAGCAGGGCTGTAGGGGCAGGTGGCCTGAAGAATCGCGGGGTCTTGGAGAGCAGCGGTGATCTCCTCATTGGCCCCCCAGATGTGGGCAACATCTTCAGCACACTGATACTGGGGCCGCAAGATGTTAGTGTGATTCAGTAGGAGTTTCAACCTGCAAGTAAAGCCATCAAGGCAGGGAGTGCAGAGCCAGGACTGGAATGAACCGCCACATGATCCACGGAGGGCACATCCAGCCCCAACCACACAGTCCACTGCACAGCGCAGCCCAGAGGCAAATGCGGGTGTGGGTCAGGCCTGAGGGCACAACCCCTTAGCCGGACGGTTCACCTATCCTTCTCAGATACACTTATTGAAAGTTACCACGAGCCAGGCACTGGACCCAGCACTAGACGTACCAAAAGGATATCTGACACATGCTCTCCATCAACTTTCATGCTGCTGACCCGTATACAAGGGAACACGAGTCAACTTCAAGCAGTTGAAAGTGAAAGTCGCTCAGTCGTGTCTGACTCTTTGCGACCCCATGGACTATACAGTCCATGGAGTTCTCCAGGCCAGAATCCTGGAGTGGGTAGCCTTTCCCTTCTCCAGGGGATCTTCCCAACCCAGGGATCGAACCCAGGTCTCCTGCATTGCAGGCAGATTCTTTACCAGCAGAGCCACAGGGGAAGCCCCAAGTAGGTGGAAGCAATGCTCTGTTTCCACTCTAAACATTTGCACATCAAAGAAAATGTCCCATCCACAAGTGCTGTTGGTGGAAAAATGGGGAGGACACAATTTCAAAAGCTGGCTTGGGCCCTTCTGCTGATGAATATGCTTCCACCTTATGACTGGGAATGGTCAACTCCGAGAGGTAGGGGCAGGGGTGGACATGAGGTGAGAGAGGTCCTGCCAGTCCTGTGCTCACCCTAACAAGATACCTGGATACTGGGATGGCAGAGACAAAGCTGTACACAATGCAGTCTTTCCCAAGCCGGGTTTGAATTTCTACGCAGATATTAGGCAGCTGAGATGGCAGGCAGCAGAGGAATACCACATTGGCCCATCCAACCAGAGAAGTGTTCTGGTAAAAGCACTGGATTCCCAGTTTCTTGAATTCATCTGAGAGGGAATAAAAGAAGTCAGATAGATCACAATACAGAAGACTTCAGACTCAACATCAACTTTGGGGAAAGTGAACATCGCACTCCTGTCTGACTCTTTGCAATCTCATGGACTGTAGCTTGCCCGGCTCCTCTGTCCATGGAATTCTCCAGGCCAGAGTACTGGAGTGGGTTGCCATTTCCTCCTCCAGGAGATCATCCCGATCCAGGGATTGAACCTGGGTCTTCTGCATTGCAGGCAGATTCTTTACCAATTGAGCCACTAGAGAAGCCCCCAACTTTGGGGGGAGGGTGGCAACGATTTTATCTCAAGTCTTGTCACCACATGTGGCTTCCTAGGTGGCGCTAGTGGTAAAGAACCTGTCTGCCAATGCAGACACCCGTTCGATCCCTGGGTCGGAAAGATTCCCTGGAGGAAGGAATGGCAACCCACTCCAGTATTCTTGCCTGGAGAATCCCATGGACAGAGGAGCCTGAGAGGTATAGTCCATGGGGTCATGAAGAGTCAGACATGACTTAGTGACTAAACCACCAGTGGGGAATCCTCACAAGAACCTTATGAGACAGAGGCCAGTATTGCCCCTATATTATAGGGACATAATATCTCCCTATAAACTATATATCCCTATATTATAGAGGTGAAAACTGAAGATTTTGAGAATCACGTGACTGGGAATTTCCTGGCTTCCAGTGGTTAGGACTCTGGGCTTCCACTGCAGGGGCATGGGTTTGATCCCTGATCGGGTGAAGACAAGCAACCAAAGCAAAACAAAACATGCTCTTTATAAAACAGAATTGCGTGACTGGGACAAAGTTAAACAGCTTAATTGGCTTGAATTGGTGGGAAAGACTGAGAGAGTGGAAGAGGGCAGAGGCCAGGAGTAATTTGGGAAATTCTGCTTGTAGTTTCAGTAAAGTGTACACAATTTCATGTCAACAAGATATTTACAAACACAGAGAGAAACATAATAACTCACATCCTTGCTAAAACCACTCCTTGGTAGTTAATCATTTGATTGTACTTATGTGACCTGAGGGTTTCCCAGGTGGCTCAGTGGTAAAGAATCCATCTGCCAATGCGGGAGACACGAGTTCGATCCCTGGTCTGGGAGGATCCCAAATGCCACAGAGAAGCTAAGCCTATGAGCCACAACTGCTGAGCCTGTGCTCTCAAGCCTGGGAGCCAGAAGTGCTGAAACCCACACACCCAAACACTGCTATTCTGCAACAAGAGAAGCCACTGCAATGAGCTAGTCCACATACTGCAACTAGAGAGTAGCCCCCATTCGCTGCAGCTAGAGAAAAACCCTCACAGCAGCAAAGACCCAGTGCAGCCATAAAATAAACAAATAAATTAAATTAAAAAAAAAGAACCTACTGTAAAGCACAGAAAATTACGCTCAATATTTTGTATCACCTATGTGGGAAAAGAATCTGAAAAAGAACATATATATTTATATGTATGTTTAACCAAGTCACTTTATTGTACATCTGAAACCAACACCTTATACATCAACTATACTTTAATTAAAAAATAATTAAAACTAATTTGCAGCAAAGAAAAAGTACAAACTGTACGATTCCATTTGTACAAAATTCTACAGAGTGTAAACTAATTGGCAGAGACAGAAATTAGATCAGTGGTTTCCTGAGTGGGACCTGTAGGGAGGTGGAGAGGTTTATGACTAGACTGTGTCTAGGCTTTCATAGGAGCATACAGGTGTTAAAACATTAGACTGTACACTTAAAAAAATTTTTTTTTAATATTTATTTATTTGACTGTGCCAGATCTTATTTGCAACATGTGGGATCTTTAGTTGCAACATGTGGGGTCTAATTCCCTGACCAGGGATAGACCCAGGCCCCTTGCCTTGGGAGCATGGAGTCTCAGCCACTGAAACAGCTGGGAAGTCCCTCAAACTGTACACCTTCAAAATGTGCAGTTTATAATGTACAAAGTGTATCTCAATAAAGCTGTATCTGTTCTTTGACCTAGTAATTTTTTTAAAAAAATTATGAATCAGGAAGTCCTACTAAATAAGGCACAGTTACAGAAATATCATAAGTCATACTTTAAAATCATGATTTTGAAGAATGTCGAATAATACGCACATGATTCATTAACTGTAAAAAGCAGGACACAAAAAGCTTTGCATAGTATTAGTTACTGGTATAATCTGATATAATCAGAAGAAAAAATGGAGAAGAAATGATAACTCTGATAAGGAAATTACAGGTAGTTATTATTTACTTCCCTGTAGGGTCATTTTCTAAATTTTTTATAAGATGCATGTATTATTTTACATTTTTTAAATTATTGAAATATAATTTGCACACAGTGCATCACACAGATCTTAAGTAAATAGTTTGATTCTTTTTGACAAATGCAGACACCCATGGAATTTGCACCTTTCTCAAGAAACAGAATGTTTATATCTGCCCAGAAAGTTCCCTGGGGCCTCTTCTCAGTCTCCCCAGAAGCAATCACTGTTCTGATTTCTACCACCAGAGGTTAATAAATGGAATCACTGCAAAACATTTAAAAATTTTTTTCAGTACATGGTATTATTATTTTTTTGACTCTGCCACACGGCATGCAAGATCTTAGCTCCCCAACCAGGGATTGAACCTGTGCTCCCTGCAGTGAAAGCATGGAGTCCTAACCACTGGAAAGCCAGAGAAGTCCCCAGTAAATGGTATTTTTGAAAAAACAAGGCCAAATGTTTGGAAGTGGTAAACACCACTCGGATTCTAACTGGTCCAGTTAGAAGATTTGAATTCTGTTTGGAAAGCTTCTCTGTATCAAAGACCCAGAAAGATATCTGGCCACAGGGTGCAGGGAGGAGAGATGGATATAAATATTTGGGTGGAAAAGAAAAGCACTTTAAGGAACAAGTTAAAAAAAAATATTTCTGGGACCTCCCTGGTGGTCCAAAGGCTAAGACTCTGTGCTCTCAATGCAGGGGGCCCAGGTTCCATCCCTGGTCGGAGAACTAGATCCCACATGCCGAGACTGAAAAAAGATCCTGAATGCCACAATGAAGGTTAAAGATCCCAAGTGCCACAGCTAAGACCCAGTGCAGCCAAATAAAGTATTGAAATTAAAAAAAAACTCTCCAGCTTTTCTCAGGGCTAGCAAGTTGAGAACTCGGTCGGCTGCGTGTAAGGATTCCTCTTTCGAGGGGCCCTTTCCAAACGGCCTGCCCCATGCTCCTCACCCAGGGTCTCTGGCCTCCGAGTGGAGATCTGCAGATTCTCAGCAGGGACGGGGACGAGCTGGAGCAGAGTGCGTGCCAGTTGCTTCCCAAGGTGGCCACCTCCGATGATGCCCACCTTTAATGCGTCGTCATCCTGAGTTTCTTCACACAAGCCAGTCAAGTGACATTTAGACGTTCGCTTCTCCGGTACTGATTTTCTGGAGAATGATTCTCTGGAGAATGAACACAGACACACACAAATATCAAGACATGCACGCGTGTTGTATGAAAGGAGAGAAGGTTAGCACTCCCCTTGACAAGGATGGAAGAGGCTCTTGGGCCTGAGAACATGCGTAGGGTTAAAGCATTGCCACCTACTTCGTGGCATCTAACCACTGTTTTTAAAGAGACAAGTGACCCCAACATTCATTGCAGCACTGTTTACAATAGCTAGGACATGGAAGCAACATAGATGCCCATCGGCAGGTGAATGGATAAGAAAGTTGTCGTACAAATACACAATAGAATATTACTCAGCTATGAGAAAGAATGTATTTGAGTCAGTTTTAGTGAGGTGGGTGAAACTGGAGCCTATTATACAGAGTGAAGTAAGTCAGAAAGAGAAACACCGATACAGTATATTAACACATAAATATATATGGAATTTAGAAAAATGGTAACGATGACCCTATGTGCAAGGTAGCAAAAGAGACACAGATGTAAAGAACAGACTTTTGGACTACGTGGGAGAAGGTGAGGGTGGGATGATTTGAGAGACTAGCATTGAAACTTATATATTACCATAGTTAAAATAGATGACCAGTACAAATTCGATGCATGAAGCAGGGCACTCAAAGCCAGTACTCTGGGACAACCCACAGGGCTGGGGTGGGGAGGGAGCTGGGAGGGGGATTCATGATGTGTACCCGTGGTGGATTCATGTTAATGTATGGCAAAAAGCACCATAATATTGTAAAATAATTATCTTCCAATTTAAATAAATTAATTTTTAAAAAAGACATGCACTCCCTAAGCCCTTTGGGACTGTCAATTTCTGACGTTCTCTGCTTTAACTTCCTCAAATGCAGCCTGCTGTGCCACCTTAAGTCCTTCAGAGAGAAGCATTCCAACTATGTGTCACTGGCCCAGCTTCAGGCTTACCCGGTGGCTTAATCGGTAAAGAATCCACGTGCCAATGCAGGAGACGCAGGTTCGATCCCTGGGTTGGGAAGATTCCCTGGGGAAGGAAATGGCAACCCACTCCAGTATTCTTGCCTGGGAAATCCCATGGACAGAGGAGCCTGGTGGGCTACAGTCCACGGGGTCACAAAGAGTCGGACTTGACTTAGCGACTAAACAACAACAACAAGGACCCAGCTTCTCTGGATGGAATGAAATGTTCCTCCTGAGTGAATTTTCCAAAGAGTAAAGCATACTCCTTTCAAAAAATCAGAACTTGTTTAAAACCTTCTTAAATGAACTTTTTTTGGGTTACATGTATTGTGCATTTCCCTGACTTCTTAAACACAAGGTCTGACTGTTTAACTGTTTGTCGCAGGACCGTCACTGGAACAGCCACCATCATACCTTATCCCGGAACACAGTCCACTGTTTCCTGCGTAGACAGCGGTCCATTTTCATCTCCACCAGGACAAGTGCACCCCTCTCCTGCGATACACCTCCTCTCCTAGTTTGCTATTTCAGTTCTGCACACACCCAGGAAACCACGTAACTTAGCTTTTTCTCCAACGTGATGATTTATCAAAGAAAATGGTTTATAAGGGTAACAGACCTGAGAAAGGGAGGATCAAGGATTTGAGGCCACTCTTTCTGGAGATTCACTCACAGATTCAAACACTGGATGTGTTTCCTTGGCCCAAGATGAACAAAGTCTGACCCCTGAATACATAAGGCATCATTTTATGTTGTTATAGGACGATCTGATATTTGTGGGGCTTCCCTGGTAGCTCAGTTGGTAAAGACTCCACATGCAATGCAGGAGACCCCGGTTCGATTCCTGGGTCAGGAAGATCCGCTGGAGAAGGGATAAGCTACACACTCCAGTATTCTTGGGCTTTCCTGATGGCTCAGCTGATAAAGAATCTGTCTGCAATGCGGGAGACCTGGGTTCGATCCCTGGGTTGGGAAGATCCCCTGGAGAAGGGAAAGGCTACGCACTCCAGTATTCTGGCCCAGAGAATTCCATGGACTGTGTAGTCCGTGGGGTTGCAGAGTCGGACATGACTGACTTTCACCTTCACTTCAGTTACAGTTGTTCTGTATTTCTGTGGAAACTGGAGTCTTCACTCCGGAGCTTCCATCTAAGCATGACAAGCCACATTCTGTGTGAGGCTTCTCTTTTGGCTGAGAGGAGAGCGTTCTCCCACTGTGCCCGATCCTTCCAAATAGACGCCGCCTCCTGAGAATGGCCCTGGGTGGCTTTTGGTCACACATCTTTGGGGGCGGCCGCACGTGTACGCTTCCCTATCGCTCAGCCAGCCAGCAAACTGCTGAGTGCTCTGCCTCCTCAGGTATGTGCTGTACCTTTAATACGCTTGATTGGGATCTGGGCCCCCCATCTGGGAGTTAATCTAATGTCAGGAAAGTAAGCTGAGAAGTAGACTGAGGGGTGGGGGTTGGGGAGGCAACAAATGCTCCAAGAGTGACCTAGAGTTACAGAATCCAGAAGCCTTAGTCCCAAGTACTTGGCTCTTCAGTTCAGTTCAGTTTAGTCGCTCAGTCGTGTCCGACTCTTTGCGACCCCATGGACTGCAGCACGCCAGGCCTCCCTGTCCATCACCAACTCCCAGAGTTCATCCAAACCCATGTCCATTGAGTCGGTGATGCCTCTTATTCTAGTGTCAAGAAGCTAGGACTGGACTGAGAGCTTCTTTGAAAAGCAGTATTCCTGTTTTCAGGCTAGTCATCCGGCCATAGGGACCCCCAAAGTCCCTGGAAGCTTTCTTGTGAGGAGGCATTCCACTGTTAGCCCAAAAAGAAAAAAAAAAATGACCCTCATTTTCAGCCAATAGAAATCAAATGGCCAGTCATTAGTTGCTGTGGAAGACAAGCTGGTTGTCCTGATGAGAGAGTGAATGGATGGATGGGTGAATGGATGACTTAATCAGTCTACTCACCAAAAGGAAATCACCATTAACCCATGCCACTTTACATAACCACAGCCCAGGCACTCTGGTATGCATCTCCCCAGTGCTTTCAGACCAGGAGTACTTCAGTGTAGCTTACACAAGGTAGGAAGACACTCCCCCTGCCAAAGTTATTCTCCAATATAAAAAGTTTAAGTCATCTGGATTCTCTGTGGTGAGATTCTTCTCTATCTACCTGACCCTAGAGACCCAGCGTACCTCAAATTATGGAGTAGCTTGCAGAAGAAGGTTGCGTGGGCACAGGCCTTGATCATCAGGCCATGAGAACGGCCCAGCAAATACAGCCAGCTGTGGTCTTCCTCATGAATCCCGGACTCAAACTTCAGGGTCTCAAGATCCTCTATCAGGTCCATCTCCAAGCCAGCATCTACTGCAGTGACAGATGCCAATCATTTCAACCACCTGTCCCCCAAGAAGGAGCGGGGCATGTGCCCAAGTCGCTGGTTCTCCTGATGGTGGTTTCAGCACCTCCCCTCTCAGTTCCAAACTGGCAGCTCCCATCCATTTCTCTGAGTGTGAGTCCTAGAGGATTCCTAAGCACTGACTACCCATGAATCTGGCTTTCTTGGTGGCTCAGCAGTAAAGAATCGGCCTGCAATGTAGGAGATCCAGGAGACGCAGGTTCAATGCCTGGGTCAGGAAGATCCCCTGGAAGAGGAAATGGCAACCCACTCCAGTATTCTTGCCAGGAAAACCTCATGAACAGAGGAGTCTGGTGGGCTACAGCCCATGGGGTCATGAAGAGTTGGACACGACCGAGTGACTACTGAGCCTACACCCATGAATCAGGAATACTGGATTCATGAAAACCTGGACAAGATCCATGTAGGTTCCGGGCACATTTTTCAGCACCTGTATTTCCACGAGCAATGGGTCTCACAGGCGCGCTTGGGCCAGGACGTTTTTCCCTTCTATTCTCTTAGAAATAGGACTGGACACTTAGACCACATTTCACAGAAATTCACCCCTTTCCCCAAACTCTCTTTTTCCACAGGGTAGAAAAGAACCCAGACTAAATACCACGATCCTCTGTCTAGAGCAGGGATATCTAGATTTTAGAAAATGAAGCCAGAGATGTATCAGCACTTCTATGTGTATCTCTCACCAACCAAACTGAGGAAAAGGTGGTTCTGATCCTCAGTACGTCTCGTCCTGGAAAGTAAGAGCTACATTTTCAGGGAGGGTTACCCATGAAAGTTGTCATTATGACTCCTTAGCTACCAGGTTACTTCAGTCTTGGAGCCTTAAAGGGGCCAGCCCCACCTAGAGGTTTTCCAGACCTACCCCATAAGGGCATGGGTTCCTTCCCTACTTTCAGAGTATTACACCAGGGCAGTCTGGGATCTCCCTTATCCCAACAGAAGGTTCTGGACTTCCAGATGTTTTTCTTTTTGCATACTCCAATATCGCTCAAATCTTAGCACTACTCAGGAGTTAACTTTTCAAGCCCCTCCTTTTTGTGTTCAAGAAATCAATGTGTAAATAATAAATAAAATGATAAACAACAGACAAAATAAATTCTGGGGATCTGATGTACATCATGGTGACTATAGGTAACAACACAGCACTGTCTAAATTTGCCAAGAGTAGATCTTAAGTGTTCTCACCACACACACACAAATGATAACCGTGAGAAAATTTTATTGCGGTGAAATTCACAAAACAGCCATTCAAAAGTGAACAATTCGGGGGAGGACCAAGCAGAGCGAACACCCCAGGAGTGAAGAAGGGCAGGCAGGCCCGGTCCTCCCATGCACACTTCAGTGACCCCACAGCCGGTCGGGCGGCTAAAGAGCTCATGTACCCGGACACACACACCAGCGCAGAACAAAGGGCCAGACATGCTCCGAACCCACTCCGCCTCCTCCTGGCTCTCCTCGGCCCGGGTTACCTGCGCAGGTGGGGTGCTCCTGGTCAGGAGCTGGCTCTTTCAGTAAAATAGCATCCTTGGAAGCTAGAGATTCGACATCACCAAAGTAGCTGAGCCTTCACTGAGCCCTGGACTCCTTGAAACGAGGCTCATTGCTTTTCCTGAGTGAAGAACTCCTCTTAAAGGCCATTCTTTACAGAGCAATGTTGGTCCTGTTAATGTTCTCCTCAAAAGAGATTCCATACCGCACTTCCCTGGTAGTAGTGAACAGAAATCTGCCTGCCAATGCAGGGGTCACAGATTCAAGCCCTGATTCAGGAAGACTCCATATGCCAGGAACAACTATAAAGCTCATGAGCTGCAACTACTGAACCCGCGAGCTGCAACTAATGAAGCCTGTTCACCTACAGTCCAAGCCCAGCAATGAAAGAAATTGCAGCAATAGGAAACCCTTGCACCACAACAAAGAGTGGCCCACAGCAATGAAGACCCAGCGCACGGAAAAATAAGTTAATAAATAATTTTTTTTTAAAAGAAAAAAAATGAACAATTCGATATATTCGGTGTTGCTCACCCACTACCTCTAGTTCCAAGACATCCTCATCCCCCTCCAAAGGAAGCGTGACTTGTGAAGCAGTCACCCCCCATTTCCCCCCCCCACACCCACCCCCAAAGCCCTAGGCAACAACACATCTGTCTCTTGTCTCTATGGAATTACCTTTCCTGGCTATTTTCCATCAACAGTGGATGTTGTTCAGTCGCTAAGTTATGTCTGACTCTTTGCGACTCCAGGGACTGCAGCACGCCAGGCTTCCCTGTCCTTCACCATCTCCCGGAGTTTGCTCGTTTAAACTCACGTCCATTGAGTCGGTGATGCCACCCAACCATCTCATCCTCTGTCGCCCCCGTCTCCTCTTGCCTTCAATCTTTCCCAGCATCAGGGTCTTTTCCAATGAGCCAGCTCTTCTCGTCAGGAGGTCAAAGTATTGGAGCTTCAGCTTCAGCACCAGCCCTCCCAATGAATATTCAGGCTTGATTTCACATGAATGGAATCATAAAAAATGCAACCTTTAGTATCTGGCTTCTCTGATCCCTTTTATAGGAGGGCTCTTAGGTCACTTTGCTCTCAATCTCTTTAAAAGCAAAGTCTCCAGCACTTGAGGTGAAGAGCAAACAAGGTCTCAAGTCTAAGAAACCCTTCCTTAGACCATAACTGTGGGTTGTGGTGCACGCTAAGTCGTTTCAACTGTGTCTGACTCTTTGCAACCCCATGGACTGTAGCCCACCAAACTCCTCTGTCCATAGGATTCTCTAGGCAAGAATACTGGAGTGGGTTGCCATGCCCTCCTCCACTGGATCTTCCCCGACCCAGGGATCAAACCCACATCTCCTGCGGCTCCTACCTTGCAGGCAGATTCTTTAAAGCTGAGCCACCAGAAAAGCCCATAACATTGGGTGAGCCACTCGAATGTTGTAAGTGATGTTTCCTGATCCAAAGGAAAGAGAAGCTCAAAACCTCCCAGCTCAGCACAACGAGGCATAGGTTGACTTGTACCGGCATTGGATTCCAGATCCATCCTTTACTTACATGTTCTTGGAAATGGGGATCAGCTGGTTGTGGCTTTGTAACACATGCAGGTGGCTAGGCAGAACTACATTTTCCGGCATCCTTCTCCCTGTCTGTTTCCAGCGAGCATGTGCCGCCAGAGAGCTTTCCCTGCAGGACTGGAGGTGGAAGAGTTTGGGGGTGGCACTTTCGCTGTCTGAGGGCAGCGGTTGAGCTGACGACTGCTATACCTTCCCCAGACCCTCCTGCAGCTTCTCACACTCCTGGGCCACATGTGTGTTCAGCTGCATGACAAAGGCCACCAGCAAATTGCCCCTGCAGGTCACCCACTTCATCAGGTTGGAGGGGGTGAGAACGGGCAGGGGTTCCCGTCCATGTGTGAGCTCTGGCTCCTCCTCCCTCACTTTTTATCCACCTTCCCTTCCCCACCACCTGCCCTTCAGATGTCTAGCTCTAACACCAGACAGGAAGACAACCTTTCAGACTCTTTAACCAGCTGCCATTATTTGAGCAAGGTCAAGACCCTGTAATGAATTCCACGTGGAGATTAGACAGACAGACGGTGGACTATATACTCCTAGTGGTTCTGTCTCTCTGAATGAATCCTCATATGCTAGTTAAGTTACCAGTGTCTATTTGAAGATCAGCCAGTAACTTCAGCATGATTTTGGCTGCTGTTGTTTGCTGTACCTCACAGCCTGCGGGATCTTTGTTCCCCAACCAAGTATTGAACCTGGGATTTTGGCACAGAAAGTGTGGATTCCTAACCGCTGGACTGCCAGGAAATTCCTTTCAGCACAATTTAGCAAATTAAACTTCCATTTCTTCAACAGCAGGGCTTCCCTGAGAGCTCAGTTGGTAAAGGATCTGCCTGCAATGCAGGAGACCCCAGTTCCATTCCCGGGTCTGGAAGATCCACTGGAGAAGGGAAAGGCTACCCACTCCAGTACTCTGGCCTGGAGAATTCCACGGGGTCGCAAAGAATTGGACACGACTGAGTAACTTTCACTTTTGCTTCACTTTCTTCAACAGCAAGAGGGTTGGGGGACTTCTCTGGTGGTCCAGTGGTTAAGAATCCACCAGGCATTGCAGGGGGACACGGGTTCATCCCCTGGTCTGGGAAGATCCCACATACCACGGGGCAACTAAGCCGATGCACCACAACTATATGCCCTAGAGCCTGTGCTCTGCAACAAGGAGAAGCTACTGCCATGAGAAGTTCATGCACAACTAGAATAGCTCCCGCTCGCCACTACTAGAGAAAGCCCACTTGCAGCAACAAAGACCCAGCACAGCCAAAAACAAGAAATAAATAAAATTTTTTTAAAAAGAGGGTTGATCAGGAAGGGCACCAAACATGAGGTTACCTGGAAATGCAAAGTGAAGGAGCAGATGCAAAGCGGAGGGACCAAAGATGGGGTCTGATCCCGAGAGCAGGCTTCCTCCTCATCGGCACTACTGACTTCGAGGGCAGGTTAATTCTGTGCCGTAGGGAGCTGCTTGTGCCCTGCAGGCTCCTCAGTGGCATCCCTGGCCTCTATCCACTAGACGCCAGTGGCTCCCTCCAGTTGTGGCAGCAAGAACTGTCTCCAGATACGGACACACGTCTCCTGGGGGGCCAAACTGCCCCCAGAGGAGCACCACGTTCCCTGAAAGCCTGCTGTCTCTGTACCCCTACCACTTCCCCACTCCCGCAGTCACAGGAGTGCAGACCTCCACAAGCCCCGAGAGATTTGTGCCTCCCTCTCCCAGATGAAGACAATGAGGCCGGAAAGAAAGGGACTCGCCCAGCACCACACAGCCTGTCAGTGGCAGAGCTGGGACAAGAGGCCGGGTCTTTAGCCGGGAGCTGCATTCCCTGTCAAGCACATGGCCCTACTTTGCTATAAGCACTGTTACTCCACAACCCGAGGTGCTGACAGGCCGATACATGCAGTCACCCAGGCAGGGTTGTAGCGGTCCCTAGAGTTGGGGCAATGATTTCACGGCTCTGCACAAAATAACCGGGAGGGAAGAAGGCGCCAAGGAAGAAATGGCTTTATTAGGCATCCAGGCGTGTCTGGGAAACCCAGGTCAGTCACAAAGAAAGGCTCATGTTGGCACAGGAATACAGGACGCAGGCATTACAGAATATCCTCTCGAAAACCAACTGCGAGACCAAACCACCCTCCTGCTAGCCTACCAGGAATGCTGCCGAGGTCAGCCCTGGTGAAACCTGTGGAAGCTCCGAGTGAGACGAGAACGTGTGTGCAGAAAGAAAGGGAGCGCTCGCCCCAGCCCTGCTGACTCATGGAAGGTGGGGGCCTGGGTGGGAGGAGGAACGGGAAGCAGGGTGCCCTCATCTCCCGCACCAGGCTCCCCGGGGTGCAGGCAGAGAGGAACCACAGCTTGTCTGTAAAGGGGAGGCCAGGGCAGCAGAGGGGGGTGGGCCGGCTCTGCCGTGAAGTGGCGGACTCTGTACAGTCCGGGGTGAGGGCGCCTCCAACAGGTCCCAGCAAGGTGGGCGGTCCTTCCTGAGGCCCCCCGGGGAGACAGCCATTCTGGTTGTGTGCTGACCTCCTGCCGAGCAGATGCCAGGGTCCAGCACCAGGTCCGAGCACAGTTAGCAGAGGGGAGTGGAGCAGCCGCCCGACGACACCTGCACCTCTCGGTCCAGGAGACCTTCTTTCTGGAGCAGTCACTTTCTGAGGACCAAGAGCCATCTTGCCCAATATGGGCCCAACCTAGAAATTAATTTCCACCTTCACGTGAGCACCAGGTGAAGAGTCTCTCTCATGAGGCAAAGCTTTAGATCTTGGCCCTTCGGTGACAGTCCCTGGACAGAAGACCCATCTGAGGCTGTCAGTGCCCAGGCTGGTCTCTGTCCCACGGGTAGCAGGCACTGCCTGCTGATGACGGGCCCCAGTGATGTGATGCTGTAACTCTCCCAAAAAGAGCGCTCTCGACTTTCACAGGCAGGAAAGGAAGAAATGAGGCTGGGTGCCAGGGAGCTGATGCCACTTAATTCTTCCATCGAATTTGCTGGAGGAAAAAACAAAGGAAAAAACAAACAATGGTCAGTTTTCACGGATCCCGACAGATAGGCAGACAGAATTCAAAAAGACAAGGATTTCAGGTAGGTAATGTAAGGAAAAGAAGGATGGAGCCAGAAGGCTGAGAAAAGAAAAATTAACGTGGGGGAGAAGAGTTCATTTATTCAGAGATGGATTAAACACCTATTCTGTACCTATTTTGTAAGCCTGATTTAGGGCATTTATTCTGTTTCTGCCCTCCTCAGGACAAAGATTCAAAGATTCACTAGCTTTAGCCTGTGGTAGATTACAAAATACCTAAGTGGGACCAAAGCTCCACGTTAACAATAAGCTCAGCAATTCATGCTATGAAAGAAGAGGCAGCTGTGTTCCCCAAGTAGCTAAAAATCAGGGGACACACGTATACCTGTGGCCGATTCATGCTGATACACGGCAAAAACAAAAACCATCACAATGTTGTAAAGTAATTATCCTCCAATTAAAATAAATTAATTGAAAAAAAAGTAGCTAAAATCTACTTCACCTACTTCTTTCTTCCAATAGGGAGGTCACATCCAGCCCTAGGAAACTCTACAGTCAACATTCTGATTCTTTAATGTCTGTTTCTAACTTCCAGTGGTTAGTCCTTCCTAGCTGGTAAGTTTAACAATGATCAGAGCAAGGTCCCCAGACCACCCCAAGTCATCCCACGTCTCAGGAGTAACTTCCCTCCTGTAGGCCCAGAGGAGACCCTTATCAAGAGATCCACACAGGCTTGGCCGACAGCAATCCCACTCAGGCCTTGGGAGTATATGCTTGACGCTCCTCTGAGAACTGTCTCCCGAGCCCACTGGAGGGCAAGCCGCAGCCGCTCACCGAGCTGTTGAGAAGGGCATCGATCTTCTCCTCCTCGGCAGAGCCTTTGTCCACCTTGCTCCTGTACGCGAGCAACTGCTGACGATCCTTCAGGTCCCGGCAAGTCTATCACCAAGAGAGACAACAACAAAAACCCCTGGTCAGCCTTCTCTAGAAGAGCCTCTTTCCTTCTGCCTCTCCCACTCTGAGCCAAGGTTCCGAGAGAAGCCAGGGAGCTGCGCTGGGATGACAGTGGGGCTAAGCACCTACCAAACTTCACACCGAAGAGACGTCTGCAGAGGTTACATGGCTTGATTTAGTTCTATGAACTCTCCGAGTGCAACGAATTTACAAAACCAGAGAGAACCCAGTCAGAGAACTGGGCAAATCGTACAGGAGAGCTGGTCTCCAAACTAACTCTTGCCAGACCACACTGCACTGAGTGGAGACTGACATTAGCACCTCAGGATTTAGGCCCTGAGGCTGAAGCCTCCCACTGCCCACTGAGCTCTCACTCAGGGCTCTCATTTCTGAGGGACTCACATCGATGACGACATCATGACACTTGAACTTGGTGGCTAAGTTCAACTTTGTGTCCACATCTTCCACCAGATTGACATACTCCTGTAATATCTGTGAAAACAAGTACTTCTGATTAGTGATTCCCAGCCGTATTAAACCCAGAGTTCTAAAAGGTAGTGAAAAAATCCTGAAGAAGGCAAAGAGTCAGTGCCTGCTGTCTATAATTCCCATCATGAACCACAGGACTAGGTCTGCACTGGCAATGAGGTGGACTTTCTGCAGTAATCCACGTTCTCCTGAAAAGGAAGAGAAGGGCCCACTCCTCCTCATCTTGGAGCCAGACCCCTGTGCCAGCAATAGGTGTGCCCTAGGTTTGACCCCACGCTGCGCCCCCTGCTCTTTGATGGCCTTTTTCATTAAGTTCTCCTGTATCATTTGAGTAGTATGCCTCCCTCTGGCTGAACACAGAAGACGCTGCTCAGAGGAGGTGGTCTGGGGTCATACTTCTAAAGGCTGAGCAGAACTTTCTTCCCTGGCCTTTTCTAGGTCAAAGCGCAGTACAACCATTATGTCGCCTTTAGTATAAGACCAGCGCAGGTCAAGTCTCCCGTTGCCAAGCAGTAAAAGGCTGAAAGTCAGGTCTCCTAGAAGACCTTGTACCCAACTCTCTCTGGGAGCCATTACCTGGACAGGGGCATTGTTCTTGTGCAAAATTTCCACAACCCGATGGAAGCCAATGGGTGCTCTCTTCTTGGTGTAGCCCAGCCAGTTCTGAAAGAGATGGGTGGCCGTGGGCAGGTCAGACAAATTCAATACACGCTGAGCTAGTCTCTCTACATTTTGTGGTAGGACTAGCATAACACGGTGGCGAGAGTGGATGAATGGGAGGTAGGGGAAAGAGAAAGGAAGAGAGATGAGAGTTTCAGAAAAGTCAAGGAACTCAGGAGAGTGGAAAAGAGTCAGAGGTATTATGAGTTCTTAGCTCGAATAGGCATGAATGCAGAAAAGTCTGAAATACAGCTAAATGAAATAAGCAATTTCCTTAACAATACTTGCATTGATAGTATGAAATTCTCTGGGTAGAATAATCCTACCCTTTACATCTTTATATTTATATAAATGTTTATTTGTAAATTCATAAAGAAAGGTCTGGAAAGCTACCAGTCAAACTTCTCACAGTGCTTGCCTTGAGGAAGGGACTGAGAAAGGAGGCGGACAGTGGAAGAGGAACTTCACATTTTACCCTCTCACTTTCACAGCAGGTTGATTCTGACACAGACATGTACTGGTTTCATAGTTAACATTTCGAATTAAATAACAAAGGCAGAAAAAAAAAACTGTCAAACCCATAATGGAAAAATGGATATTTAAACTGCAAACCAATGAAGGCATGACATCTGAATGGAATGCAAGATCCTTGACGATGTGGACAGCAAGCAAAAACACAAAACAGCTCTCAAGAGCTCACCAGCGTATATCATAATATTCTGTTTAGTTACAGGTAATTACAATGCTGTGATGGCTTCTGCCATACATCAACATGAATCGGTCACAGGTATACGTGTGTCCCCCAATTCTTGAACCCCCTGATAATATTCTTACATTAGTGTTAAATTTCTCGAGAATGGTAATACTGTGGTTACAAATGAGAACAAGACAATGCTTAAGTAGTTAAAGTATTGTGATGTCTGCAGTTTACTTTCAAATGTTTCAGCAAAAAAAAAAAAAAACCGCATAGAGAACAAGAGAAAGCAAACATGGCAAAAATGTGAACAAGTTCGTTAAGTAGGTGAATACTGTTATTCTTTCTTTTGGTTTTCTTTAGGTCTGAAACTTTGGAAAATAAAATGTTGAAGGAAAAATGTCAACCAGTAGCTGGAACCTGAGTGTCCCAGGAGGCGTGAAACCTGAGACTCCTAGGAGGTGTGGGATGGCAAGACGGCATCTCCACCAGAGCGCCGACAGCCCCAGGGCACCCACCTTGGTGGTAAACAGGGCATCAACGTCATGCCAGGCCCGGAGCTTGGCACGAGCGGCCAGCGCTGTCAGCACGTACTGTTTGTCTGGGATCTGAAAGCAGAGGCCCGGGGAAATTAAGAGAAGCAGAAATGCATCAGGGGAGGGGTTTAAGAGTTCTGGAAAGACAGGCAAAAATATTCCCTGGTATTGATTCTGCCCCTTACAATCCACAAACGTCTCGGGTCTCCAAGCCCCAGCACTGCTGCAGGCCATTCAGTTAAGGCCTTCCCTCACTTCCCACAGATTCACTCCATTCTCCCCTGACCCTTGAATGTCATGGGACTTACTGCGCAGGGTTACAGAGCAACATCCACTCCACAGAGTGATTCTGATACTACTTTTACTAAACACTGCCGAATGTCTATCTACCTTGAATGTCTTCTTCAGGTTGACCGGGCTGCTGAATGTCCCCTAGGATGAAAGCGGAGAAGGAACCTTGGTGTTACTGACTCTTTCAAATACCATCAATCTCCTATTTTCCCGTCCACTAGCTAGACTTTCTACATTTCACTTTGTAACCATTTAAACCTGGAAATTAATTTAAGAGAAAAGCTCTATCAGGTCTAAGTGGACATCACCATCCAGCTTAAGAGCACTAGATTAACAGGTATAAAGTATTTCCCAATTTTTTGCTAATCCTATGATTGTTACGATCGTGTCCACCGATGGGTCATTAAGGTCGCACCTCTTCAAAACAACTTTTTAAGTATGCACAGGTAACTACCCTCTGCTGCTCTGCTCTAGCCTGTGGGAATCCATGTGAAGCTCTGGGCCTCTGAGCAGAGCCGCTCACAGCAGCAGCACTGGTCCGGCAGATGCGTTCTGGGGCAGGCCTGCTCACTGGAAGCCACACGAACCCTTCCAGGCCTCTCTTCCCCTGTGAACGCTTCCCAGGTGGACTGCCAAGAATGATGTGCACCCCCTGTCAACAGAACACGCTGGAACAGGCTCTGAAGGACGCCCCTGTGCAGTGAGAACGCGTGGGCCTTTCTCCCCCGTGTGGCCCGCACCTCAGCCTCCGTGTAGTGGTAGAAGCAGGAGTAGAAGAGCGTCGTCACCAAAGGCATGTTGAGGATGGATGCTTTGCGGGGGTGCTTCCGGAAGACCTCAGTCTGTCCCGCTGATTCTAGATGCCGATCGTTTGCCTGTGGTGGAGTGAGCCAAGAAAAAAAAAAACAGTGTCTGTGGAGTGCAGGCAGGAGAGAAGCCTGTAACACTAGAGCGGATGTCTTTCCTACCCTAGGAAAGAGGCGAAGAGGAGAAAAAGAAAGAAACTGCCTAGGAGAGCCCCGAGGAGCTTAAGATCCAGAAAATGATGATCTAAGTTGGATGGAGAAGACCAGAGAAGTAGTGATGAAACAGAGCTCTGGGATGAAGAGGAAATAGCTCCAGGTTAACAGCAAGTGAGAAAAGAAAAGATGCCTGGAGACAATGGAGGGAAGGCCACCAGGCAGAGAAAGAAAATGAAAGACTCTTAGAAAGGTTAACCGGAAATGACATGTGGGCAGAGCGGAAGTCTCCTAGCTGCTGAATGGCACACAGCTTTGGCACTGAAGCAGAAAGAATAGAGACAAGGATTCTAACCTCGATAATGATCTGACGTTCCAGGAGTGTGTAATGGTCTTGTATGTGGGCAGAATCTTCTGCTGAAAATGGCAAACTGGGAGAGGACAAGAAGGTTAGTACCTCATTCTCTACTCAAACAAGAAACACACCCAACTAATCCAGGTCACCACTCTAAGTGTAAGATGCTCACGGGGCTCACAATTCTGATCTCTGCTCCCTTTAGAGCATCTGTGAAAGGCAGAGAGGAAGCAGGAAATAGAGGCGACCTCTGGTCGGGATTTTATACTTAAGGTTTTGCCAATTAGACATGGAGCCTTCAAGTCCACGAAATACATACAGTCACTAGTGATTCTGCTCAGGTGTGAGGCGGAATCCCCTCATTGTGGGCGGTGCAATGACTGATGAACGCGTTGCCCAGCCAATGAGTGCACCGAGCCAACTGCCCATCATCCACATCCTGCAGCGGCTCAGCGGTTCGCGTCACACCTAATGTCAATGCTGAACTGTCTTTCAGGGGCACTTAAATGTTGGCCATGTTTTAATGTGAAGTAATAGGTAAAACTCAAGTTATAGAGCATGGCAGTATGTCTGTGGATTGGTAAAGATCTCAAGAGTTCTACATGAGGTCAAGGGTCCCATCTTTAACACTACATTATATCCTTCCACATGAATAAGTTGACGGACAGTGTCTTGCCTAAGTCATTTGGCAAGTCCATGGGTAAGGCCAGGAACAGAAGCCAGATTTTAAATGCCTAGTTCCCAGACCTTCCTTCAGGAAGTACTGCCTTATTCCTCTACTCCACTCACTCCAGCAAGAACTCTGAAATTCAATTACACTCTCCCAGGGAAGTGTGAGCCCATGGCCAATTTTTAGAAGCGATAAAGAAAATAGCAAAAGGTTCCAGTTACTTCAGTATTCTAACTTCTCTCTTTGTTTACTAAAGGCCATACGACATATTGGCTCAGTAGCTGCTAAAGTTAAAAGTAAGGATTGTACTGGCATAAATTTCTAAATGAGAAACCTCGCAATCATGTCACATAAGGAATGACTGAAAGAACTGTGACCACTGAACCTCAAGTAAGTCTACTGGGTGGACTCTACACCTGTCTTGAAAGATAAACAGGGGAGCAATTTTCAGCTCAACATAAGGAGGCACTTGCAGTAATAAAGGCTGTCCAACAATGAAATAAACAACTTCCAAGAGCAGTGTGTGCCCCACCCCTGGCAGAACAGTACGTGGGGCTGGTTTTCACAGGGACTTATACTCTTTCATAAAAGCTGGACTGAATCAGTATTTCTTGGACTGTGGGGTTTCAAGGACTGGTAACACTGAAAACAATATGTAAGTAAGATGTTGCCAATATTTTTCTTTTAATACATTAGGTCAGACACACAAAAAAATTAAAACTCATTTTTCTACCAAAAAGAAGTTGGGGGGGGGTGGATCTCGGAATAAAACGCAGTCTTTCAAATTAAATAAATTTAGTTTTAAGAGAAAGTTCTCTACACTGTCTTTATTTTTCTCAATTTATCACCAATCAGTGAAAACTACAGGGGAATAGTGTTTGGAACCACTGAATGAGATGATCTTTAATCATATTTGTATGACCCACTGTTAGCCTTTCCCTGCAATCATCTATCCATTCTATCCTCTTTTAATCTCTTCATTGTTCTGTATAACAGTATCGATAGTGAAAAACATTTCTCCCCCACTTACCCAATGCATGTCTTAAGAAATTCTTTTCGTTTCTCGGGGTCCTGAATGTTCAAGTGCTCTCGATAATGGGACAGCTACAAAAAACAGAGAAGAACTTTGAGCTATTTCTTTTCTTCAGAAGGGTGAGGTAGTTCTGTCAGTAGGTTTTCCATGCTTGAAAGCTAAACTCTTCATTACTAGAGATTCTTCTGGGAATAGATGGCAGAGGGGTCGGGGAGAAAAGTGATTCAAAATTATTATCTCTAACTGCATTATCCAATACAATAGCCACTAGTTTCAAGAAAAAGTTCTTAGGAGACTGTCCTATTCTATGAGGATAAACTAAAAGCAGGCTATCGGGTTTGCCAACTCCAAAGTTTATAAGGTTGGAAAACTCCAAATTCATATATAACAGCATGCATGATAAATCACTTTCAATTCAAACATAACAGAGAATACGAAGAAAATATGAAAGCTTTAAATAAAAATGAGTTACCCAAAACACATTTACTTTCACTGATTAATCAAACTTCAAAACAACGAACTATATGAATGCTATCTGAAGAAAATTCCTTATAGTTTTGAACCTATGGAAATTAAAAATATAAACAAAAAAGCTTTTCAAAATGAGTACTACAGATTCCTAATCATTTTGAAGAGATTAAGATAAAAGGTTTTGAGATTTTCCCACACCTTGAGTATTAAGTACAAGTTCCTTTTACAAAATGCTACTGAAAAACATTTTCCTGAATTATACTCTGGTGTGCAAAGCTTAAAAATATATCACCACCAATGTGTGATACAGTGACTAAAAGAACAATTCTGACATTGATGTCAACGAGAATCCTTACCCTTACACGATAATGTCAAACCTTTTAAATAGTTTATTGAAGTTTTAATAAGAAAGTTACATGTTTTTGGTAAAATTTCAGATTCCTTCTTATATTACAAGAGTTTCATCTACAACAGTGAAAATCTGTCCAAAATCAACTTTAACACTTAAGTCATTGAGCTCTTAGCCAAAATGTATATTAGGTGCCCTGCCAGCAGCTTGATGGATCTTCCTTCATGGCCTGTTTCTGATTTCTTATCCCTGTTTGCTTTCAAAATTGTCTTTGGTATTAGAAGCCAACACCCCAAAGCTCCTACAAATCAAGAACTAAAAACAACTAGAAATTAAGAGACAAATTCCAAATTGACCAGGCCAGTTTTCATTCAGTTATTTTTTTTTAATTTATTCAGAAGCCCAATCAAAAGAGCATATAAAAAGACCCAAAACAGTACATCATCTGGATTGTTCCCAGGCTTCCCAGATGCCCCTGTCTCCTAGATATAACTAACACCAAAGGAAAGGAAATAGTCAATCAGTGTGGTATGCTGGGTTTTGACTTAGACTTTTAAAGAGGCCCCCAACTGAAACAAAGGCCACACTTACCGCAAGCTCTTCTGTTCTATCTAGGAACCTGGGAAGAAGCAGAAGGGAGCAGGGCGTTTTTATCTATTGATGTGTGGCAGTATAACCTCACAAAACAGGATGAGTGTTCTAGAAGAAACATCACCCAAACTCATCTGCCTCCATACACAAGATAAGCCCTTCTCTTCTCAAACTCTCTATCATCAGCAACCCCTTGAGAACACGTGCCCCATCTACCGAGCTGAGTGAAGAGCAGAGACTGGAGGACATCGTGGGCACTAGTAACTCTGAAATGTCAACAGATCTGACAGAAAGGCTCAGAGCCTCCGCAAAACCTTAGCCTACAATAGTCTGGGTTTTTTTCTTTTTAAAGATGAAAACACTCTTCTCTGTCAGTAGTCTTGGAACAGATTGTCTATACTATCCTCCTCTGTTGTTTTCTTCTTTTTTTAAGATCTATTTATTAATTTTTAGCATTGAGAGGTCTTCACTGCTACATGTAGGCCTTCTCCAGTTCTGGCGAGTGGGGGCTACTCTCTAGCCCCCGAGGTGTGCGGGCATCTCACTGCGGAGGCTTCTCCCGGTGCGGAGTACAGGCTCTGGGAGTGAGGGCTTCAGCAGCTGTGGCGCACGGGTTTAGCTGCTCCAGGGTACATGGGATCCTCCCACACCAGGGATGGAACCTGTGTGCCCTGCATTAGCAGGTGGATTCTTAACCACTGGACCCCCAGGGAAGCCCTATTGTTTTCAGGTACAGCATACGATGCATTTTGTCTCTCCCCAAAGGTGGTAAGACCTTGGAGAACAAGGACTTTTGTCATCTGATTCCTTTTTAACTTTGCAAGGACCACTATAATTAACATCACTACTTTGGCATAGAGGTGATGCTTTAAAAAAGCCTTGTTGGTTCGGAGGGAAGGAAGGAAGAAAAGAAAGAGGAGGGGAGGGAAGAAAGGGTTGGGGGGAACAGCTCGTCTTGAACACGGTTTCTACAAATTCCTGGCTAACCATCTCTAATCTTGACCCTGATCATGTGACCTGCTCTCTCCACCTGAGTCTTCGGGAAAGCTCATCACTCTGCGGAAGCCACTAGGTAAATAAAGTTACCTTGGGCCACATGTCAGCCTAAACAGAGGCTCCACCCCCTGCCCTGATACTGAAGAAAGGACATAATATACTTGTTTTAAGCTAAGAGTGGGAAAAAGTCCCTAACAACTGAAATGAGATAGAGAAGAAAAACATGGCAGAAGACAGCTGCCCCCACTGTGCACCCCCTTCCCCAGGCCCCCAGCAGACATGCCTGTTTCTTGCATCTCTACCCATCAGAAAATGACCTAGAACCCCACAGGGCCCACTCAATTTCTAATCACTCCCATGAGGTTCTCCTCAGATATCCTGATTGAAAATTGTATTTGCTTCTGATTTGTCATTGTGCTTCTCACTGGCATCACCAGGGACCAAGTAAAAAAGGCATCTTCAGTCTCAGTCTTTTCTAAGAAAACAGTTAATAAATATTAATACCACAGACTAGGCATTATGCTGAACGCTTTACACGCATCAACTCCTTTCACCTTCATAATGACCTGTGGAGTAGGCAACATGACTTCCATTTTATAAATGTGAAAACTGGTGCTTGGAGAGGTTGAGGAACTTGTTCAAGGCCATGCTTTGAACTAAGTGATGGAGATAATATTCAATACAGGTGCTTGACTCTGGAGCCTGATTTCTTAACACAGTCACTTTATTACAGGTTGTAGTGCAATATTAGTTATCCCATCACATTTCTTTTTTACTTTCTTTCTCTCTTTTCAGTCATGCCACATGGCTTGTGAGATCCTCGTTCCCCAACCAAGGACTGAACCTGGGTCCATGGCAATGAAAGCACCAAGTCCTACCCACTGCCATCAGGGAATTCCCCCATCACCTTACTATATTTTGTCTAATAAGTGTTTCGAGAAAAAAGGGGCAGTGTCTTCTCTTTCTTTGTAGTATCACCCAGAGTGTTCTGAACGAAGTACTTAACAAACTTTACAGACCAGATGATCAGTTCTTACCTAAAGAGGTCTAAAAGCAGCTTCTGATCACCTATCTCCTTAAGGAAGTGAATGAGATGTCTCAGGGCAACCTGCCGCACCTCCAGCTCTCGGAAGAGGATCTCTGGTAGGCAGAAGAAAGGAGTTAGATGGGGAAAGATTAAAGCCTATTGCTCAACGGGAAATCAGCACCCGCCCCCAACTCACACATTCTTAAGATGATCTCCTCAAAGTCCATCAGAAGCTAGGAATGGTTTACGATGGTGCCCACCCCGGCTCAACCCACCAGTAACACCCTCCAGGGTCCAGGGCAAGGCTGAGCCTTCATGTTAGCTTTCAGTTCTCACCAACCCAACCAGCAGGCTCTGAGCATGGACTTTCACTTCCTCAAACCAACACAGTCATCCGTCTGTGCAGTAAATGAGGGGCTTCTTAATTACCGTAGTTATCACTCTAAAGGAGGAACAACTGCCCTCAGGGGAGGGATGTGTACTCTGAAGTCTCAAGCTGTCCTGAAAGTAGACCTGATGCTGGTGAATTCTGGTATTAAAGCCACAAGACCACTCTCCTTTCAGTGGAGCAGACATCTTACTGACTAAAGATTTCCCTCAAACCACACTTACCTTTACTCAGCGTCCTCTTCAGGAAGATCAGAACCTAGAGGAAAAGAGAACCAAGAACAAATCACCCTATGTAACCTTCCAAACACGAGGCCCTGTCTGAGCACCTGATGACTAGGAGTGAGGCCAGCAACTCATCAGGAACCTTGGCAGGTCCAGACAAGGTGTTTCTCTATGTGATGAAAGGACAGGTGATGGACATATGGAATAAGCTCTGTCTTGGAAGTCCAAATACCCCTGCCCCTTATGGCAAGAGACAACTCCCTCCCTCTCTGAAAGGCTGCTCTCACATCTCTCTGACTTCAGATTATTTTTGAGGACATAAAGTAGCCAACCTACCACTTCTGGGTCATAATCAAGAGAGCCATACACAATGCATGTCCTGCCAACTGAGCCTTTAGAACACGTACTTCTGGGAATCTTCTACTTCAAGAGAAAATCCAGTGTCTCTACTTGACATTAAAGTCTATCCTATGGATAACCAACAAGGACCTACTGCACAGCACAGAGAACTATACTCAATATTTTATAAGAACCTATAGGGGAAAAGAATCTGAAATATATATATATTAATACATATAACTGAGTCACTTTGTCATACACCCAAAACTAAAACATTGTGAATCAACTGTATTTCAAATAGATAAAGATATTTTAAAAAAAAATCTATCCTGATTGGACTTTCAGAAACTGATGAAAACAATAATTAAAGAACAAAAGGCACAACTCACTGCAGTAATGACGTTTCCATCATGCATGCTTACTGCTTCTTCTAGGAGCTGGATTTTGTCCTGTAAGGAGCGGAACCTTTCCAGTGAGCAGACCTGCCAGATAAGAATAGAACTGGTGTGCAAGGAAGAGGACCATTTCCTATATTCTTTTGTCACTGGATGCTGAGGAAGAGTGACAATGACCTGAAATATCCCCACGGCATGCATGCATGCTCAGTCTCTTAGTAATGCCTGACTCTCTGTGACCCATGGGCTGAAGACCGCCAGGCTCCTCTGTCCATTGGATTTTCCAAGCAATAACACTGAAGTGGGTTGCCACTTCCTTCTCCAAGGGATCTTCCTGACCCAGGGATCAAACCCAAATCTCCTGCACTGCAGGCGGATTCTTTACCACTGAGCCACCTGGGGCTTCCCGAGTGGCACTAGTGGTAAAGAATCCAGCTGCCAATGCAGGAGATCCAAGAGAAATGGGACTGGAGGGGACAGCAGGGGACTGGCCATCTGAGGCCAACTTTTACTTCTTTTTAATTAACTTCTTTACTTATTTGTGGCCGTGGGGTCTTGGTTGCTGCGCGCAGGCTTTCTCTAGTTGCAGCGAGCGGGGGCTGCTCTTCCTGGCAGTGCACAGGCCTCTCAGCGCAGTGGCTTCTCCTGTTGGGGAGCACGGGCCCCAGACTCGGGCTGCAGCAGTGCCGGAGCGAGGGCTCGAGGGCCGGCTCGGCAGTTGCGGCACACGGGCTTAGTCGGGGCATCTTCCCAGACCAGGGATCAAACTCGTATCTCCTACATCGGCAGGCGGATTCTCAACCACTGGACCACCAGGGAAGCCCCAACTTGTTCTCTTTTTAATGAGGCACAATTTATATCGTATAAAATCTACCCTATCTAAGTGTACAGTTCAGTGAGTTTTGACAAGTAAATAATCCCATGTTAACTGCTACCACAATCAAGATACAGAACATTTCCATCACCACAAAAATTTCTCTTGTCCATATGAAAAGGGATCTTACTAGCAGATATTTAGGTTATTCCTGCTTTAAAGGTTCTAATAAATACAGTTCCTATGAACATCTGTGTACAAGTCTTTGTAAGAACATATTTTCATTTCTCCTGAATTGTAAATGTCTATTAGTGATTAAATTAAATGTGTGTTTAATTTTGTCAGAAACTGTCAGACTCTTTTGCAAAGTGGTTTTACCGCTTCACCTTCCTGTTTGCAGCATGTGAGAGTTCCAGTTGCTTCACATCCTCCCAATGCTTGGTATGATCTGTATTTTTAAACTTAGCCATTATAGTGACTGTATAGTGGTATCTCAGTTTTAATTCATTTTCCTGATAACTGATAATGTTGGTCATCTTTTCACGTGCTTATTGGCCATTCACACAGCTTTTGGTGATATAACTGGTGAAATCTTGAGTTGATTTTTAAATTTGATGGCTTAATACTGAAGATACTTCATTATTTTTTACATACATATTCTGGAGAAAACACATTATAAGATGTATTTTACAAATATTTCCTCCCAGCAATGGTCTTTTTGTGTTTTTAACAGTGTTTTCAAAGAACAAAACTTACTAATTTTGGTGAAGTCCATTTTCCTTTTTGGTCTGATGATTTTTGTATGCTTGGTTAATAAGTCTTTGCCCAACTCAAGATCACAAAGACTTTCACCTAAATTTTCTTCTAGCTTTATAGTTTCAGCACTTATTCTACTATGATCCATTTTGGCCCAATAATCATTATGATATCAATTCTCCCAAAATTGAAATACAGAGTCAATGAAATCTCAGTCAAAATGCCAGCAGCTCTTTTGTAACACTGACAAGCTAATATGGAAATACACAGGGTCTAGAATGGCTGAAGTAATTTTGGAAGAGAGGGATAAGGTTGAAGAACTTACATGACTTGATTTCAAGATTAACTACAAAGCTACAATAATCAATGCCTTGGTAATGGCATAAGTATAGACCAAAAAAAAAAAAAAAATCAATGAACTAGAATACAGTCCAGAAAGAGACCTACATATATATATGGTCAATTCATTTTCAAAAAAGGCACCAAAATGACCAATGCAGAAATGGATAGTCTTTTCAACAAATAGTATTAGAGCGAACAGAGAACTATATGGGAAAAAAATGAATGTCCATTTGTATCTCACACCATATATTTTGTATTAACTCACAATGGATCACAGACCTAAACATGAAAGATTTGCTCTCTCTCTTTTTTTTTTTTAGTTCTACCACTTTATTGCTACCAACCCATCTCCCTCCACCCTCGTGCACACATGCTCAGTCATGTAATCCCATGGACTTCAGCCCGCCAGACTCCTCTGTCCATGGACTTTTCCAGGCAAGAATACTGGAGTGAGTTGCCATTTCCTTCTCCATGCTCTCACTCTTAAAGGCACTACTTTTCCCACTCATCCATCACTCTTTTCCCACTTCCCCATCAAAACAACACTAAACCCTGGAGAATTAGAACATTTGCAGCTGAACTGCCATCTTAGTGGAATGATTTTCCTCCTGAAAATCATTTCATTTAACAAAACTGAAGAGAAAGGCCAAGCTGCTCAGCTTCCAAAACAAAAAAATCCCAATTCCACAAGAACTCTTTCCCCAGGGGCCTTACCTTGCCCTTCCGGAGGCGCCGCACTGTGTCACTGGGGCCCCAGTCATTGCTGTAATCCTGGAATATTAGCAACGCACAGATTATAGGAGTTAAAGGGTCAGATTTCAGAATTATCAGTGCGTCAGCTCCTCACCTCATGCATACAGTCTTAGTCCCTCGAGGGGAAGTATTTTGCGGAAGAAGATAGATGAAAAAAAACAAACTAGGATGGTCTAGTCCTGAGTTTCTTAAGCAACCAGGACAGAGATTTTATAGGCGGGAGGAGTTGGATCAAAGAGGGAACGGATCAACTGACAAATCTGGCAACCTACATTACGTGGTTCGGAATTTCAGCCAATAGAGGCAGTTTTGGGACTCTAATTAACGGTTTTGCCAACAGAAGGAAAGAGAGAAACGTGTTCTTTTTTTGGACCTTATGATACTGTTTTTTCCTTTTCAGTCAATTTGCTTTTTCATGTACTTCATGTGACTATGAGCTCCACCAAGCTTCTAGACCACAGTGATGATCAAAAGTTTCAAAGCACAACCTAAAAAACGGCTGTACAACGGATAAGGAATGTACGCCAGAGATCAATCAGAAACTAAAACTTTCGAGTTCCAGTTCTACCATGTAACTAGCTGTGAGACTCCTGGCAAGCTCTAATGTTTAGAGATCCAATTTGCTTATTTCTAAGAGGGGTTTAAAATAATACCTGCTCAAAGATTTGGGAAGATCAAACAAGATAACAAATGTCTAAGTACGGCAAACTGTGTAAAGTGCCATGACCATCGTAAGCTGTAACTCACCCTGTACTCCCCCTTGGGTCTCCCCAGCTCTGGAGCATAGCTCTTGGCAGGTGTGTCTGACAGAGCTGCAAAATAACAGGCAAGGGACTGATAAGGACACCATCTTCCTGCCATTCCTTTCCTCCACTGCCTCCTCCACGGGACCTGCGAGCTCTCGAGGCATCTTTACGGCCCAAAGTAGGGAAGCCCTAGTAAATCTCAGTTCCTACTCAAAGACAGCATCCCTAGATGCTACCCTTTGACCCCACAGCCTGAATGTTCTCAACCAGCTTATTCAGCATCAGAAAATTCCTCTAACAACGATGACAGACTCAGAAGTGTCATCATCTAATTATCACTGGCCCCCATGACTCCCCAGGCTGTGCCCCAGGTCAGTAACGTCTCCCGCAGTAACCAAGAGAAGAGAGCCCATGCCTACCATCAGAGAGGGACTGGAAACTGCCAGGTCTAGTTCTCCCTGAAGGCAAAGAACACACAAGGCCGAGAGTTAAAGTCAGAGCCGTCCAGACTCAGTTTAGCACGCAGTGCACACAGAGCCTTTTTGTGAACTATGAGAACTTAAGGCTTAAAAAAGCTTTTATTCAACTTCAGAAATTTGAGGTATCATGGAAATAAAAGGCACTGAGCAACTTTTTTCTTTTAATTGTGGTAAAATACACCTAACATAAACGCCACCATTTTCAAGGAGGATACAGTTCAGGGATACTAAGTACATCCACCCTGTACAATCATCACTACTATCTATCTTCAGAACTTTCTGATCATCCCAAACTGAAACTGTACCCACTGAACAATAACTCCCTTTTATCCTTACTCTCATTCCCTGGTGACCACTGTTCTACTTTCGAGCTCTATCTATCTGACTATTCTAAGTATCTCATAAAAATGGAATCACACAGAATCCTTGTATGTCTGGCTTCATACACTCAGCATACGGTCCTCAAGGTTCATTCATGTTGTAGCATGTATCCGAATTTTAATCCTTTTTAAGTCTGAATAATTGTCCATTGTATGTACATACCACATTTTGTTCATCCATTCATCAGAGAATGGACATTTAGGTTGTTTCCATATTTTGGCTATTCTGAATCATAGTGTATAAATACATGTTTAAGCCCTTACTTTGAATTCTTTTTGGTATATACCCAGAAATAGACTGCTGGATCATATGGCAATTCTACGCTTAATTTTTTGAGAAACTGCCAAACTGTCTTCCACAGTCTTCCGGTGTCTTCTACACACAGGCTGTACCATTTTACATTCCCACCGGCAGCGCACAAGGCTTCGCAACGGAAATGCACAGGGGCAGGGAGGAATTCTGACCTGGACCAATTTCTTCAATATGCATCACAAGGTTCATGTCCAATTTGTTTACCATGTTTTAGAAACCCAGTCCAACCTCTCTGAATTTCCCTTATCTCTCCCCCTTTCTATTCCCTAACGGCTAGCTCCAAAGATTTTTATACTTCAGTATCTTTTTCTTACAGAGTAAATGAAAATCACAGCCTTAGTGGTTTTTCGGAAAAAAGAAAAGGACTCTGCCCCTTTAACCATCACTCTTACCTCTAAAAAAGCTGCTCAGAGAGTAAGTAGAAGCAGGTTTGGGTAGTTGTGCATAGGTGGAGAAGCTGTTTCGGTTCTTCAGCTGTTCACGCTCATGGCTTGACCCGCTATTACCAGCAGTCTCTTTGATGGACCATGAGATACCTGCGAGACAGTAGGATGTAAACCAGTCATTCTCATCCAAACTAATGCCATCACATCCAGCATTCCAATAAACTCTAAAGGCTTTTCATCAGAAGTCCTGGTCTCTTGTCAACATGGACTTAAAATATTGAGGCAGGGAGAAAGGACAGAATCAAACAGACCAATCAACAGAGAAAGGGGGCAAAGGAAATGAATAAATGGATCAAAAAAAAGGAAATACAAGTAGCTATTAAACATGAAAATGTGTTCAACCTTCCTCTTTACCAGCTGAACCACAAGAGAAGCCCCTTCAACCTCACTCTTAATAAGAGAATTACACACATTAAAAGTACACTTAGGACTTCCCTGGAGGCCCAGAGATTAAGAATCTGCCTACCAATGCAAGGGGACACAGGTTTGATCCCAGGGCCAGAAAGATGCTACAAGCCGTGGAGGAAGTAAGTTCACGTGCCACAACCACTGAAGACCGTGCACCTAGAGCCCATGCTATATCACAAGAGAAGCCACTGCAATGAGAAGCCTGTGCACAATCAGTGAGCAGACCCTGCTCGCTGCAGCTAGAGGAAAGCCCACGCAGCAACAAAGACCCGGAGCAGCTGAAAATAAATAAGTATTTTTAAAAAGCATGGTGAGATACCACTTGGCCCCATAAGATTGACAAAGACCCAAAAGTTTGAGAACACCCTGTGCTGTCAAGGCCGTGGGGGAAAAGGAACACTCTGACACTGCTAGGTGGGAGTGCAAGTTGGTGCAACATCTAACCAACACAGATGCAAAGAGCCTCTGCCAGCAATTCCACTCTAGGAACTGAACTTTCAGATACTCTTACATGGGCAAAATACAAGGTCACTGACAGCAATATAAACAACAAAAGATTGGAAACAATCTAATGCCCATCAACAGTGGACTGGTTACATAAATTATGAGAATTCCATACAGTGTATACTATGTTGCTATTTTTAAAAAGGGAGGCAGGCACCCGTTCGAACATGGCGCTGCAAGCAGTGCGGAGCGTGCGGGACGCAGTCGGCAGCCTGCGCGCCATCTCGGCACCCAGCGCGCCCTGCTCGCCGCGGCCCTGGGGACTGCGGGCGGGTGCCGTACGGGCACTGCGCACCGGCCCTGCTCTGCTGTCGGTGCGGAAATTCACAGAAAAACACGAATGGGTAACAACAGAAAACGGTGTTGGAACAGTGGGAATCAGCAATTTTGCACAGGAAGCTTTGGGAGATGTTGTTTACTGTAGTCTGCCTGAAGTTGGGACAAAGTTGAATAAACAAGAGGAGTTTGGTGCTTTGGAAAGTGTGAAAGCTGCTAGTGAACTCTATTCCCCTCTATCAGGAGAAGTAACAGAAATTAATAAAGCTCTAGCAGAAAATCCAGGACTTGTCAACAAGTCTTGTTACGAAGATGGTTGGCTGATCAAGATGACATTCAGTAACCCTTCAGAACTAGATGAACTAATGAGTGAAGAAGCATATGTAAAATACATAAAATCTATTGAGGAATGAAAATGGAACCCCTAAATAAACTACTTTGAAACAACTTAATCTAGCATAGTTGTCTTAAATTAGTGGTGGATAGATATTTAAAAAGCAACTTTTAGCAAAAGAAACTACTTGTAACAATGTTTCCTGAAGAAAATACCCCTTAACTTTCTAATGCCTTCAAATAAATACTGTATCTTTTCCACAGCATCCTGTGATTTTTAGGCTAGGGTCCAGTTATACTATTCAGAATTCCTGAAATTATCTCTGATAAAACTAATTACAAAAATTATGTAATTCAAGGATAACATGGTTATCTTATATGACATTGTAACTTGCTTACAGCTATCCTTGGATTTGGGTCAAAATGATCTTCCCACTAGAAATAACTGGCAGTGGAGAAAAGTTTGTTAGTTGTATAGTGTCCAGTGAAGAATATTACTGTCTTAACTTTGCAATATACTGTGTTTGCTGGTGCTATTTTTATACAGTGAAGCAACAGCCTTGCAGGAGAATAAACAATTTAATAATAAAATATTCAACTTCTTAAAAAAAAAAATAAATAAATAAAAAGGGAGGCAGCATGAGAAAACTTGTAAAGATCTTCAAGCTATATTGTCCAGTGAAAAGAGCAGGGTATAAAGTATGCCACCACTTGTGTAAAAAAGGAGGTTCATTTTCCCACATGTAGTTCCACAAGCAGAAAGGATCTCTAAATGAATACACAGGAAGCAAACAACAGCAGTTGTTTTGGGGGGCAGGCAGGGCCTGAGAACTAAGTAGATGTGTGAGTGTGAAGGAAACTTTTCTCAGTACGTCTTGAATACTTTTTACTACAGCACACCTTGAATACTTTTTGCTTTTTAAATCATGTGACAATATTTCCCATTTAAAAAAAACAAACCTTTAAAACTATGCTTAAAAATCAGATGGACCTAGCAAAGGTGTTAAGTGGCATTACAGAACAATTAGGCAGTGGGACTTAGTGGCTAAAGAAGTCAGTTCTGACAGGCAGTTGTGAGCATTTAAGTCAGCAGTTCTCAAATATGACTGCGTATCAGAACATTTGCAGTGCTTATTGTCATTTGAGACTCCGCCCTACCCACCCCCAACACCCAATATCAACAGCAACTGAAGCAGAGTCTCTCAAGTGAAGCCCAGGAATCTAACTTTAATGAGCATGCCAAATAAGTCTGAAATAGCCAGCCAAACATTAGCCCTACGACAGCAGACCTAGAGAGCCGTATGGAAACTACTGCCATATTTCCCCAAGTACCCTCTCCTGCGTTAAATTTCCAGATGTATGCTCATCTGAAAATAGCTTAGCCTCGTTCCCTATCCTGACAAATATTGAGGAGACTTTATGAGTGGTAAGAACACTGAATAATTAATCCCTTCCCAGGGCCTTTTGTACTTACTTCCCACAGGTTCCCCGGTCCAGCTGACTCTCTCCAGGTCATCTTCATCATCGTCATCCACGAAGTCTCGAAGGCTATTCACTGCCCGCTTGGATTCCTTTAACTGCAGACAGACATCAGGATGGGCTCTCAGGCCATCACCACTTCTCACCTCTCCCTCTGACAGCCAAGAAGGCTGAGGAACTTGGACTTGAGAATGGCCAATATTTTAACTTTTCTGCCATCGAAAGCCTAGCCCACTAGACTTTTGCCAAGAAAAGAAATGGCTATTTTGCCACTGGAGTCCAGTGGCAAAAGCTTAGGAAGAGTCAAAGCCGCTTTTGAATTCTAATCCTACTCTTGGTATTGACTTGCTTTGTAGAGAGTTTTTCCATCTCTCCAAAAATGAATGTTTCCCCCACTGGTGAAACAGACACGAAAAAGACAAAATTCCTAATCCAGTTCATTAGGGCTCTCAGGAAAAAAAAAATGAAAAAAATGAATCATCTTAAGCTGGAATCAAGATTGCCAGGAGAAATATCAATAATCTCAGATATGCAGATGATATCACCCTTATGGCCGAGAGTGAAGAGGAACTAAAAAGCCTCTTGATGAAAGTGAAAGAGGAGAGTAAAAAAGTTGGCTTAAAGCTTAACATTCAGAAAACTAAGATCATGGCATCTGGTTCCATCACTTCATGGAAAATAGATGGGGAGACAGTGGAAACAATGTCAGACTTTATTTTTTGGGGCTCCAAAATCACTGCAGATGGTGACTGCAGCCATGAAATTAAAAGACGCTTCCTCCTTGGAAGGAAAGTTATGACCAACCTAGATAGCATATTAAAAAGCAGAGACATTACTTTGCCAACAAAGGTCTGTCTGGTCAAGGTTATGGTTTTTCCAGTGGTCATGTATGGATGTGAGAGTTGGACTGTGAAGAAAGCTGAGTGCCGAAAAATTGATGCTTTTGAACTGTGGTGTTGGAGAAGACTTTTGAGAGTCCCTTTGACTGCAAGGAGATCCAACCAGTCCATCCTAAAGGAAATCAGTCCTGGGTGTTCACTGGAAAGACTAATGCTGAAGCTGAAACTCCAGTACTTTGGCCACCTCATGTGAAGAGTTGACTCATTTGAAAAGACCCTGATGCTGGGAGGGCTTGGGGGCAGGAGGAGAAGGGGACGACAGAGGATAAGATGGTTGGATGGCATCACCAACTCAATGGGCATGAGTTTGAGTCAACTCTGGGAGTTGGTGATGGACAGCGAGGCCTGGCGTGCTGCAATTCATGGGGTCACAAAGAGTCGGACACGACTGAGCAACTGAAATGAACTGAAGAACGTAAAGGAAGAAGGGCAGAGAGTTAGCTTTGACAATTCCTCTCTTTCCCCAGGGTTCTTCTCCATGAAGAGTCTTCTAAAGATCTGACTGAAAGCACTGCTGAGCCTAATGAAGACAGGTTACCGAGGATGCAAGGAAAAGCGTACACAGTAGAAGGGGATGAGAACTTCAGCAACTATTCACGGAAACCTACCTGTGAGAGCTCATCATCTTCATCATCAAAGGTGAAAGCCTTGAATTTGGAGCTATTCCAATACTCCTCCTCATCACCCTTTGTCCGATTCATCTGGAGGGAGAGGAAGAGAGATATATACTGTATGTCTCTTTCTGGATTCCCCTCAAAAGAGCTCCAAAAGCTTTGGGTTCCTGGACTACAAACTCCCTGCTCTAGTCAGGGATGCATGAAAAGTGTCTGGTGAAGAGAATACTGAAGAGGCCACATAAAATCAGATCCCTGGGTCTCCAACCAATCCAATCATACTTTTGATTGTCTGATAACCCACAAGTAGTCATTCATTCCTAGAGCAGCTACTTTGTTCACAACACTATCTCAGGCACTCTGTCAAGTGTTATATTACATAAGGGATATCTGAAGTACAAAACACAGTCCCTCGCTGAAGGACCCTACAACAGAGTATTAAGCATATACCTTTTCTAATTTGTACACTCTCATGCGTGAGAGTACACTTCAGTCATGTCCAACTCTTTGCAAACCCTATGGACGGTAGCCCACCAGGCTCCTCTGTCCACAGGATTCTCCAGGCAAGAATACTGGAGTGGGTTGCCATTCCCCTCTCCAGGGGATTTCCCCAACCCAGGAATCAAACCTGTATCTCTTAGGTCTCCTGCACTGGCAGGCAGATTCTTTACCACTAGCGCCACCTGGAAGGCCCCAGTATAAGTATGTATAAAGGTAAAAGTTCAAACCAGGCATGTGTTACAAGAATGCTTCATGAACTTTGCTGAATACACAAGGTTAATCAAAGCATGAACAAAACAGATAGTAACTACATTCACGGACTCAACATGTATCAACATGTTGCATGCCACCTCTCAGGCCCTGTTCAGGCTCTGGGAATACTGCAGAGAATAAAAACTCACAGACATCTTACTTTTGCATGTGCTTCTTGAATTCCTGATGGCAAGTAATCAACTAAAGGAAGCTGAATTAGCCTGCTTGTAACTTCAATTTCAAATCATGATTAATTTAATAACAAGTACTGGCCAAAATTTGGGAAACGAGGGCATGGCCAAAGAAGGAAGTCTATTAAGAATCAGTCAAAACACGACAAGTCCCTCTCATAACTACTCTAAAATTAGATTTCGTCCTGAAAAAAAGTTTTGCCTTAGAATCACAAACTAAACTATCCATGCCAACTGGATTAGAGTGAAAACTGATTTAAGCCAAGAACCAGGTACCAAATTTTCCAGTGCCAAAAATAACTGCAAAGGCTACAAAGAGTGCAATTCTAAAGGATGAATTTGCTTTTTCTATTTCAATAGCACCTTTCTCAATAAAAGTTTAAGAAACACTCACCATGACAGACCCACTGAGACTCCCAATGGCCTTAACACACTCTGCCCTCACGCAGTGTGTTGTCAGGGGATCTGGGAAGGCAGAGCAGGCTGAGAATTTTTTACCATCTGATCCTTCCCCATGGCAGATATCACTAACTGATTTCTACTGAACCCAGACACAGCTTAAAAATCCTTTTGTATACTTAATGCAGTGAGTAAAATCATATACAAAAGCTAGAAGAAAAAAAAATCATCCCTTATATTGCAACAAGCATAGGCTCTGTAGTCAGGCAGACTTGAATTCAAATGTCAGTCTCTCCAACTCTCAGCAACCTGGGTAAATAATCTTACTTCTAAGCTTTGGAGAAAGTGGCAGAGGACCTCACAGGGTTGCAGTGAAGAATAAACAGGAGTCAAGAAAGAGCAAACAAGAGTCCCCAGTATAAAGTAAATACTAAAGCCTGGCTCCTTTTGTATAGGATATCTTCTGCCATCTTTCTATCTCCGCCATTTGTAAATACGGGACTTAACAGAAACATACCTGGTAAGACTGCTGTGAGGCTGAAGCCAGTGAACCACACAGAAAATACATGTGCTGACACAAAAATTTGTTTAGTATTAATTTTTATTATTAATAAATCAGTATCTTAGAAAAAGCTAGAAAAATATTTCTAAGCATTCCTAAAGTTTAAAATTTTGATACAAAAACTCTTGAGTAGCCATCACAAACACTGAAGGTGTCCACAGAGCAGGTAAACATCTATGGTAGAGGTGACAGTTTATAAAGCCTCAGAACAACTCTGCAAAGTAGGCCTAGCAGATTCAATTCAATTTCACTGATGAGGGAAATGAGGCACAAAAGGATTAAGTACCAAAGTTTTTAAGATAAAGCTAGTTGCTCCTATCCGGGTTTTCTGTCTACTGGGTCATTTCCACTCTGACTTGCATCGTCCATTTATCACTCGAGGGAAAACTGAGGGCAGGCCATTACTACAGTATCTACAGATAGGCATAGCATGGGTCTTAACAAACCCTGTAATAATCCACCAGAGGATTTCTAGAGTCTTTTCTTAACTATGCAAAGGCAGTGGACGCTTCACACTAATCTGTACTTCTAGCGCTTGTCATAAACTTTATTTCCTTAGCAAGTAAAAAAGACAATGATTTAATGGTTCTAAAATTTATAAAGCAATCAGGTACAATTTTAAGAGGGGCTGAGAATGTGCTTCAAAATTGTTTAAAACACTTCAAAAGAAAAAAAAAAAAAACTTCAAAAGGCTTGTGCCTGTCACTTGTTTACTGAGATCCCACCATACAGGGCAGTAGATCTGAGGGAAGAGCAGGAATACGACAAAGGAAGGAAAACGACTCGGCCAAAAAATATCGACAACCAACACGCTCCCCGCCTGAGGACGCCGCAGAAACCAGCCTCTGAGAAGTTAAATTCGGACTCATTTATCATCTTTCGAAGCCAGGCCTACACAAGTGAGGTGACGAACTGAGACGAGGAAATGCGGATTAAACTAGGAAGACTCTGTGGGCGAAGGGTCCAGGAAACACGGCTCCACCGCAGAGGCCAGAGCCCAGAACCTTGGTACAAGAAGTGCTTGTTCAAAATCAGTTGTCTGGGCTCGCTCGCGGCCCCAACCCCGAGTGCAAGCCCAGGGATCGCCAGAAATGGAGTTAACAGTCAGGCCAGGGAGGTCGAGGGACGCCTCAGACAACGAGGGGAAAGGATACAGATGCGGAGAGGCTGGACTCGGCCAGATACGCAGCCCAAGGGGGTTGGGACACCCTCACCTCTTCGACACCGAGCCCTCCCTCTCAGGTCAGCGTCAGACTCCGCCGCCGAGGGTCCAGCCTTTCTACACAGGCTGTGCGGCATACAAAAGGGGCGGAAGGGGATAGTCCCGAGAGGGGGCGGAGGGCTGGGCTGGGGGTAGGAACCAAGGGTCGAGACAGGCGCCGCAGGGCATGCTGGAAGTTGTAGTTCTTTCGGCCCCTACAATCAGGCTCTGCCCTCACAGGCCGCGGGGGGCCTCTTGACTACAACTCCCAGAATCCCCAGCGCCCCGTGCCTAAGCCCGTTTCCTCTCCTTTCAGCTCGACCTTCCGAGGTTATCCCGTGGGTCACTCGACAAGACTACAACTCCCGTGAGGCCAAGCAGGGCCGATGACGGGTTTAGGGAAACAATGAAACGTGTCCTGTGTGTCTCTGTGGGTGAGGAATGGTCGTGTGAGCTGTCGCCTTTCGGGCCTTTCAGGGCATAACTCGAAGGAGTGTGAAGGATTCCTTAGAACAGACAGAAGCGAAGGTCCGGCGAGGGGCAGCCGACGTACCCGGCGGGAGGGAGGCGGAGCCGGAAGTCAAGGCGGGGAGGGGCGGGGGGGGTGGAGGGAAAAGCAAGCCAGGAGGATCTTGCAGCTTCTTCTAGTAGTTTCCAGGCGCTGCCGGGCAGCCGCGACCGGGCTGTCCTGAGGCTGTGGCTGTGGCTGCTCGGGAGCTGTTGGCGGTGCGATAGGAGAGCCGATGGCCAAGTGGGGTGAGGGCGACCCACGCTGGATCGTGGAGGAGAGGGCGGACGCCACCAACGTCAACAACTGGCATTGGTGAGGGCCAGCGGGCCAGGCCGCGGGAGCGCTGCGGCCGGGCCGGGGGTTGCGGGGGGTTGGGTCCTGGAACCTTAGCCGGGACACTGCTGGGGTCGAGGCAGCCCTGCCTGCCAGGAGATGGGCGTGGGTCCTTCCTGTCTCCAGGGGTCCGTAAGTCGCAGGCCCCTCCAGCCTCTGACCTCCGTTTCATTGGGTGGAGGGGAGGCCCGGGGTTGGGGTCGGGGGACGACGTAGAAGACAGCATTCCAGACGAGGGGGTTTCACATAGGAGGACTTAGCCCTCCCCCGGCTGCTGCATTCAGCCTGAGCGGAGAGATGCTTCTCACACGTGGCCGGAGGCGTCATTGAGACCCAAAACTGCCGTGTATAGTGTTGAGAGATTGCAATGTTAGGCTCGAGAGGGTTGGAGTTACTGTTTTTTCGGCTTTCGGGTGGAATTAAAAGTCAGTCATAAGGGATCGCTGCCTCACTCCAGAAAGCCAGGTCTTAGAACGTGTTGTGCAGGTGCTCAGAGCTGAGTGATGCTCCAAGGCTCCGTGGCCTCTCACCCGGAACTGTTAAGTTGGTTGTATCGTCGCTCCAGGGACTGCCGCCGGTTGCCGGGCAATCATGGTTTATAATCCAACTACTCTTAAAAACCTACTCTCTTTCATGAAATCTTCTGCAAGTAATATTTTTTATTCTTTCTGAGTCCACTGAACTTTGTACGTAAACTGTAGTTTTACTTTGTTGTAGCTCATCTTAACTGTTGTTTTCTCTACTAGTTAGAAAGTAGATAGTTTTCCTTCGTATTTCAGCCTGCTTCCTCTCCTCGTAACATAGAATGGGTTGACTTTAATTTTTGTTTGTTTTGAAACCCTGGGCTTTCATTGTTTTCAGGGCCATTTGAAGGGCAAAAAAATTATAACACAGCGTGAATTTGATAGGTCAAAACACTGCGCTAATGAGATCAAGATTATTGGTTTATTCTTAACTGGACCTTTTGGCTCACTGCGTTCTGTGGCCCCCCTGTGTGCTGCTGACCTCAGAAGCGCAGTTTTCCATTTGGTCAGACGGGGGCGCCATGTTAAAGTATTCACTACTGGCCCCAGCACCATCATGCTGAGAAAGAGGAGAATTTTCCATTAAGTTTGAAACCATGCTATACAGCAGTAGTCCTTATTGACAGTATAGGACTCCTGGTCTTCCTGAAAGAGTAAGGCGTTTGTAGACATGGTGGAGTGGGGCTGAGGGTTTTGTGTTCTTTTCCAGCCTCCTGTAGCCTTGGGTGCTCTTGCATAGAGCAAGCAGTATATCCTTCATTCGGCTGCTGGTCCATAGCTCTGTTTCTGTTTTGCAGGACAGAGAGGGATGCTTCGAACTGGTCCACAGATAAGCTGAAAACACTGTTCCTGGCTGTGCGTGTGCAAAATGAGGAAGGCAAGTGTGAGGTGACAGAAGTGAGTAAGCTTGATGGAGAGGCATCCATTAACAATCGCAAAGGCAAACTTATCTTTTTTTATGAGTGGAGCATCAAACTAAACTGGACAGGTAAGTCTGTGGTCGGCTTTTAGGACAGGGGTTAACGGCACTTTGATTGACCTGTTCAGGAGCCAGAGAGAACAGTTTTTGAGAGGTTATGAATTTTTTTCGAGGGGGATAGTGCTGCTTTAGAGTCCTATAGGAAGCAGTACCCAATGTTGAAATTTTTCTGTCCATTTCTGCAGGACACTAAATGGGTTTCCTCTCTGTGGGTCTCACAAGTCTCTACTGATGTAGCAAGTGGGCTGCTGAATCTTTGGGCCTTGTCCTGTTTGGGAGCATACAATGTGATATTTTTCAAACTAGCTATTTCTGCCTCTTGGATGACTTGAAAGTAGGCTATGGCTTTTGTTTTTTTAATTCCAGTGTGAACCTAATAGTTTAGAGTGCTGTGGTAATGCTGCTTGCATGTGATTATAACGGGCTGGTTTTATTTTCTAGCTTAATGTCTCTTTTGTGAGGGTATTAGGACAGAATTGGGGCCATCCTTGGGTGGTCCTGACAGGGAGGAAAGACTTAAAAGAGTACATGTACGGGGCAAAACCTGGAAACTTCTCAAGTGAGTGGGCACAAAGAGGCGCGGTGTATTTTTGTCTTTTTTTTTTTAAATTAAAACACAGCAGTCTGAAAGAAACCATAGGTGTCGTCTTTCCCAGCCTCCTTTTTATAGATGGAGAAACTGAGGCCTAGAGAGGTAAAGATAAATACATGTTAACTTTGAAATACAGTCAGTTCTGCTATAACGTGACACGTGTTTCTAAAATTCACCACACTATGCAGAATCTTCTAACAAAAACCACAGGGCTTGTAGGGAAGATAGGGTTAGGGACATGACAGAATACTCCAAAGCTTCATCAGTGATATTTAAATTTAGGAATGTAAAAATTGGTGGCACAGTTTACACATATTAAATCATAAGAAATACATAAATCATTGGACAAATATCGTGCTTTACCTTGACAAAAACCTGAGGTTTGCTTGTGGAAGTGGGCATCAGGAGCACTGAGGCACGTGGGTTATTGTGAGGTGCTGGAAGGAGAGTCACGGGAAATCAGAAGGAGCATTATGACGCCGGTCGTGGGTGGTGTGGCTCCTAACACACAAGGTGAACTGAGGTCACTGAGGTCACACTGAGACGTGTGTTTTGTGTTTTCCTATACAGCTGTGTTTAGGTTTCTTTGTGGATGAAAGTGCATATAACCAAATATGAAATTCGTGTTACAATCAAATCGTCACCTAATATACCTATAGCATTGGAACAAATTTGTATTTTCAAAACAAGCGTTTTAGCAAAACTGCCAGTACTAGCTATTAACCCACGTCCTCCTCAGCAGAATCCATGCTAGTGCTGAATTCACGTAGCTGTTAGTCTCACACTGGTAACACAGTTAGTCCCCAGAAATCTGATGAGAAAAGACATTTCAGGGAGTGGGGGCAATGGCTGCATCTGGTGTGGCAGCCACCTTCTCTCAGAATAAAGAAGGTGGGTTCAGCGTCCAAAAGAAGCATAAGCAAAATAGTGGTTAGGCATCTGGAGCAGGAGACTTAGCCTGGAGAGGAGGAGACTGATAATAATGTGTTACTTTTGACAGGTACCTCCAAGTCTGGAGTGCAGTACAAGGGCCATGTGGAGATCCCCAATTTGTCTGATGAAAATAGCGTGGATGAAGTGGAGGTTTGTGTTTTCTAATTCCTCATCTTAGTCTTCCACATCCTCTTATTCTCAGATGAGAAAAATGACCTGTCATTCAAGATTACAGACCAGGCTTGGCATAAGCATTCAGAACCCCGGTCTGCAGACGACTTTCTGGGTCTGTGGTGCCATTAGGAGCTTCCCGAGCAGTTTATGCTTATTCAGTTACTTTGCTTTAGTGAGTGGTGAGAGTTGTAACATTAGCCACTTTTGTCTTGGCAGTAGGTGGCAGAGAAACCTCGAGAAGAAACGCTCATGGGGGTTGTACGAATACCTCACCGTCATGCATTTCCTTTGCAAATGTCAGCAGTTATCTGACTGCTCAGCACCTACATCCTGCAGTGTGGGTGCCTCTCAAGCTATTTACCATCTACTTCTGATCTTTCATTCAGATTAGTGTGAGCCTTGCCAAAGATGAGCCTGACACAAATCTCGTGGCCTTAATGAAGGAAGAAGGGGTGAAACTTCTAAGAGAAGCAATGGGAATTTACATCAGCACCCTCAAAACAGGTATCCTTTGAGTAGTTATGAGTGCCTTGAGAAGATAGTTTTCCATCTGTCAGATGCTAATTAAGGGGCTTGACAGTTCTTTCTTTAGTAAATGAATAGAAATTTGGGCAGAGGAGGCTTATTTCATCTTGAAATCAGCCTGTAAAGTTTGAATAAGGGAAAGATTCAGAGCTGTGTTGTCTAGTGCATTGGCTGCTGAGGATGTGAAATGTGGCAGTCCAGATTGGGAGGTGCTGTGAGTATAAAATACACAATAAATTTTGAAGACTTGGTATTTTTTTAAAAAGAAGACTATCTCAATTATTTGATACTGACAACACACAAATGGTAGGATGGATATATTAGGCTAAATGTGGTCAAAATTAATTTCACCTGTCTGTTTTAACGGTTTGGGGTGGTTACTAGAAAATTTAATGTTCCACTTGAGGCTGAGGTGGTATTTCTGTTGGACTCACTGATCTAAAGACCCGGAATCTCCAGATTGAGCACTTGAGCACAGTCCTGGACTATTTTTAGGCTTAGGTGAATAGTAGTCCTCTCAGCTGTCCCCCAGAACTCCAGCTTTGGTCATGTGGTATGGTCTGGGTGTCGGAGTACTGATGGTGACCATCAGAGGGAGCCAGTGTAGAGGTGGGAACCAGTGCTCTGATGCCCTAATAGTTGTGGCTGTCCTACAGAGGTACAGCAGAGTGGAGAAGGGGCCTAAATACGCAGCTGCGATCATCTTCCCCACTTTGAAGGCTTTGGAAGTGCCACTGCATTCATTGGCTGCCATCTGTAGTAGACCTCACACACATTTAACAAGTTGTGCTTCTTCTAATTGAGTCAGGGGTTTCAGGTAATCCCAGTGACCATACTACATTCTGTAGGATGCACTCAGGTACCCATCTGGCGTGGATCAAAGGGAAAGACGTAAAATGGATAGACGACGACTCTTGTTGTCATTACCTCCTCCTGAGTTAGGACAGCCATGTTTGTGAGCTACAGTGAAGCCCCAAATCTCAGCAACTGAGAAATAACTTCCAAGAGCCGGATTTTGTCTTTTCAGAGTTCACGCAGGGTATGATCTTGCCTACAGTGAATGGAGAGTCAGTAGACCCAGCCGGGCCGCCAGCACTGAAAACTGAGGAGCGCAAGGTAACCGGTATCCCTGCGTGGTGGGGTGGGAGGCTGTCTGGAAAGGGAGTTGAGACACTGCCTCTTCCTTAAGTCTTTATCTCAGCTCTTTCTCTCCCACCCTAACCTCTGAGCCAGAGGTGCTGCTTTTCAGGGTCCACAGAATGTAGTTGTCTGTAGCCCCATCTTTAACCTGGTTTTTATTCATTTATGACAGACCCCTAGAGCAAATGGAAGCCATCAAGCCATCAGGGGCTTCAGAGTCCAACTCTTGGCATTTAACACCAGTGAGGAGGTTATGAACACAGGTTCCCCTGTATGCATCTAAAATAATATATGGACATTTCATCCTTTGATATTAAAGGTCTCATCAAAGTATCAGAAGTTACTTAGGTCACTGACTTCACCTAACAGGAAACTGACTGAGTTCATCCCATTGGAAGGGAGAACAAACTTTTTTCTGGAGTTGGCGCTGGTTTGGTTTGGCTTCAGCACTTGGTTTTCAGCCCTCTTGCCCCTTTGTCAGCACTCTGAAGGATATTCTGGGGGTGCTGCTTCCAGCTATTTTAATAGACATTCTGCTTGAGGATTACACAGGACTCTTCAGAAGTACATAATGATTTAGTGTGTCCTTTGGCAGTGGGCTTTTAAATAAGCATCACTCTCTTTCACCCAGAGTGGCATTGAGAGTTTGCTGAGAAAGTTCCCCTCCTGACAGAAATGCCCATGCACATAAATTTCCTCTGACCCCCTGTAATAATTTAGCCTTGGAGGTGACAAGGTTTGTGAGAATGAATGGCAGTGTGTCCCTGCAGCCCTGTGAAGTGAGGTCTCACCAGTACTCTATAAACTGACAGTTTCACTGCCACTTCCACAGGCTAAGTCTGCTCCTTCAAAAACCCAGGCCAGACCTGTTGGTGTCAAAATCCCCACTTGTAAGATCACCCTTAGAGAAAGCTTCCTGACATCACCAGAGGAGCTCTATAGAGTTTTTACCACCCAAGAGGTAAGTATAGTCCTGTCCTTCCAGCTCCTGGCGTCTGCCGTTCCAGGTGACTAGAGTTGTGGGCACATCCTCTCATTGTGCAGGAAAGTGCTGAGTGGAACCACGAGGCTGTCCTCATTCATGAAGAGGCAAAGGAAAGAATGTTTGTTCAAGCCACCACTCATCAAAGTGGATTTGCCTTTTTTTTTCTTCTTGTACTAGTTTTGGGTCCTGTAAGTGGGAACAACTGGAATCATTCATGTTAGAAAAGCAAATGGACCCAATGTAATGGCATCCTGGATTTAGAAAGAATTACTTGGTTGAAGCGTGGTCTCTGCTGGAACAGAAAAGAACCTGAAGCTGGTTCTTGGGCAGAGTAGTGTCTTTGGAATTGAGAGCTGAGGCACGCAGGTGTCAGCTGGCATTTCTCCACGGTCCCCCTGAGAGCCACACATCTTCCTACCTCCTTTTTTTCTGCAGCTCGTTCAGGCCTTCACCCACGCTCCTGCTATGTTAGAAGCAGACAAAGGTGGCAAGTTTCACCTGGTAGACGGCAATGTCTCTGGAGAATTCACTGATCTGGTGAGTTCCTGCTAACCAGGAAGACTTTTATCAGCTTAGAAGAATAATGTGTCCCTCCCTCCCTGCTCCCCGCCTTTTTCTTTCCAGCTCTGTAGATAAAATTTAAGACTTTAATCTCTTGGGTTAGTAAAAGCTCATTTTGTTTTTCAAAGGAATGCTACAGTTGGACTCTCTCACCTTCCTATAATTTTTTCCTTCGTGAGGTAAAATTAGTTCTTCTGGGAGAAAGCAAACATCGAAAAGAGGCTGACCTCTCTGATTATTTCAGGTCCCTGAGAAATACATTGCGATGAAGTGGAGGTTTAAATCTTGGCCAGAAGGTAAGCAAGCATGTTTGTTCATTGCCTGCCTCCAGAACCCTTTCTTTTCCCCCCTTGCCTCAGGCCCCTATGGAAACCCTGATCTGAAACCTCCCTCCCCTCTGCCTTCCCCCAGGGCATTTTGCCACCATCACCTTGACCTTCATCGATAAGAATGGAGAGACTGAGCTGTGCATGGAGGGCCGAGGCATCCCCGCCCCAGAGGAGGAGAGGACGAGGCAGGGCTGGCAGCGGTACTACTTTGAGGGCATCAAACAGACCTTTGGCTATGGCGCGCGCTTGTTTTAGGCCCCGCAGCGGGGGTACAGCCTGCCCAACACTTGAGTCCAGCCCTCCCTTGACCGGGGCTGGTGACTCACAGGACCGCACCATCCCAACCACTAACCTGGGGCTGGGGCCCTGTCCCTTCATGTATACCTTGGGTTTGTGCATGTTTTCTGCTGGGTGGGAACAGAGGGTGATTTCTCTTTTATGTGTACATACGCTAAATAAACGTAATTTAAAAAACATGCATGTCTGGAACCTGTGTTGATGGGGTGGCTGGTATTAAAGAGTTCCCCTGAAGGTTTTGAATTTAAAAAAAAGGGTTTTGTCTCCTTCTGGCTAAGTGTACATAATCAAGAGGCATGAAGGGAGCCTGCTTCTCACCAGCAAGCATTCCTGAGCTCATGTCCTTTCATACTGAAGACCTGCAAAAAAGGGCAGTGAAATGTAGCCTGGTGGGGGTGGGGGTGGTACTTTGTGGTAAGCAGTACCAATAAACCCCATGGCGAGTGGAGGTGGCATTCTGGGGCTCCTACTCCCCATGGCCTCTTACCCTCTTGCAAAAAGATCACTAGGCGCTGGTTTGAGATGCAGACAGAGATTCCCCATCCCGTGGGTCTTGTGTTTCTATTCACTGAGGTTCTGTTTATTGAGCAGTTTCTACGTTCCAGACACTGCACTAAGCAGTTTCCTTAGTGGGGGCTTCATTAGCCCCCACAATCACCCTGTGAGATAGATACTACCACCATTTCTGTTTTACAAGAACCTAGTCCTTGTATTTCTTAATTGATACCCCAGATCCTACCACAGATAATTTAGCAGAGTTGGGGTTTGGAACAAGAACTGAAAACTGCAGAGCCAATGCTCAAGTCCAAACTTGTCTACTGCCTTGTCATTGCATTCATCCCCACAAAGAAGCAGCTACATTTCTAGCTTGTTGGGCATCCCTCCCGGAGTAGGACATTCCAGACCTATTACTACCAGAAAGAAGAAAAATTGAAAATCCTTGTTAGAGTATTTTTAAATACCTGGTTCCATTAAACAAGCTTACTGAGCGCTGACCAAGTAGGGTCAGTGCTACTGACCTTAGTGGGGTCCAGGCTGCCGTGTTCCAGGTAGGGATAAACTACCTACATGCATGTGTCCCAACTTTCTGCGACCTTATAGACTGTAGCCTGCCAGGCTCCTCTGTCCATGGGGGTTCTCCAGGCAAGAATACTGGACTGGGTCACCATGCCCTCCCCCACGGTATCTTCCTGACCCAGAGATCGGACCTGTGTCTCTTGTCTCCTGCATTGGCAGGCAGGTTCTTTACCACTAGCACCACCTGTGAAGCCCAACTACCTGCATAGGGAGGGTCATTTCCTGGACAAGCCCCACCCCAGTGAGAGTCAGCTTCTGATCCAGATACCGTCCCCTGCAGCTACAGCTATTTCCTTCATCTATTTTTGCCTGTTTTATTAAGTGGCATGGATGCCTGCAGGCTAATCCTACCAATATCAGCTGGTCAAAATGTAATTAAAGCAGAAAGTCAGTACTGGTCTGGATAATACAGACCTCCAAGATCCCCCCGCCCCCTGGCTTGAATTACTCAACAAGTGCTGGACTGAAGCAGTCTTCGTCTAATTGGGCATTATGTCTGCAGCCTGGGGGTCCAAAAAGTACTTTTATAAAAAATAAAGTACATGGACTGTAGCTTGAATCAAATCAAGAATTCTGTGGAACTGCCCTGGTGGTCCAGTGGTTAAGACTCAGCATTTCCAATGCAGGGGGCACAGGTTCGTTCCCTAGTCAGGGAACTAAGACACCACATGCTATGTGGTGTGGGAAAAAAACAAACACAAAAGGACCCCCTTCTAACACAGAGACTGGTGACAAAGAAGGACTGCTTTCACACCTGGCTGGAATTCCATAATACCTAGGAAAAATCTGAAGCAAAGTTTACTAATGCCTTAATAAAAATCGAAGCACCAGGCAAAGTAGCTGTCACGTGAGAGCTCAGCAACATTCACATCCCCAGTACTGATGCTGTTACAACTTCCATCCCACTGACAGCATTCTGGTTAGGTATCAGAGCCTAAAAAGCAGAATGACAGAGCTAAAAACAAAACTTTGGACTTGGGTTTGAATTGTAAGTGTCACCACCTAACAAATTGGACAAATTTCCTCATCTGTAAAATGGGTATAATAGGTAACTATGAGAGCATTAGGGGCTTCCCAGGTGGTGACAGCTGTAAAGACCCCACCTGCCAATGCAGGAGACCTAAGAGACATGGGTTTGATCCCTGGATCGGGAAAATCCCCTGGAGAAGGGCATGGCAACCCACTCCTGTATTCTCGCCTGGAGAATCCCATGGACAGAGGAGCCTGGTCTACAGGGTCATAAAGACTCAGATACGACTGAAGCGACTGAGCACTCACGAGAGCATTAGAGACGAACAGAGAAGCTCTGGCACCTGGTAGCACGTTACCTGGGGACTCCCTGGTAGTTCAGCTGGTAGAGAATCTGCCTGCAGTGCGGAAGACCTGGGTTTGGTCCCTAGGTTGGGAAATCCCTTACCTGCTGACTTCTGGGCTCCCAGGCCCACGTATTTTCCTTTAAGCAGGAATTGATCTTTTAAAAAGCCGGTTAACTGGCCAAATTGCAAATCCTAGGCTAAGGGTTCACCGCAACTGAAGTACCACCTGAGAGGAACCTGTTAAATGCGGGAGAGGACTCTACCCCAGTGATTCGTCCTGGCTGTGGGGTGTAGCCTGCGAGCTTACATTTTAATACCCCAGGTAACCCTGATGCCAAGGATGGATTTTGAGGAGCACTTCAACATGTTAAGAAAATCTAACTGTAGTGGAGGAAACAAGGAAGCACATCTGGGTCCCTTTTGTGAATACTGAGACAAAGGAGCTGAAACATCCTGTCTTCCGAGACACCAGGACCATCAGCAGGATGTGGCAGGCTTGTACTGTGGGTTGTTTTAAACACTGGGTAGAGTTCAGTGTGACCAGTCTTGCCCAGCCTAGGACCCTTTATGAGGTAACCCAGGGTTGGGGAAATGGGGCAAAGCCATCCAGGTGGCCGAGGCAGCTAAGTTAGCAGCAGCGGTGGTGTTCTTGCTGGATGTGTGGTCACAGATGGCTCCCGGGGTCCAGGACAGGAATAACAGCCAGGTGAGCTAGGATGGCCTACACTGCACCAGAGCGGGGGAAGGCCCTCTCTTTATTTCCTGGGCCCCTCCTGGCTTTGACACCAGCCACTCCTAAAATCCTCCCTTTAGCAGGGTCAGTGACCCCTCTGCATCTGTTTCTCCTCACACACAGGTGTTCCCTAAGCCGGCAGCCACCTGCGCGGTGTCTCTTTCTCCTTTGTACAGTTTGAATAAACACTGTTTTATAGCTGATCAACACCCCAGTCCCTTCAAAGCTCCTTTCCAGCCCCCGTTTCTTTAGTTTCTCTCATCCGTGGCTTGACATGGTAGCAATTTAGAGTGTCACTTAGATTACAGATTTAAAAATGGGGCTGCGTAATTGTCAAGCTTTAGGTATAGATTAAATTTAGATAGTGCATTTTAGTGTCAAGGTAAATTATATTAGACAGGAGAGGGATCTGCATTCAGTTCAGTTCAGTCACTCAGTCGTGTCCAACTCTTTGTGACTCCATGGACTGCAGCATGCCAGGCCTCCCTGTCCATCACCAACTCCCGGAGCCTACTCAAACTCATGTCCACTGAGTCCGTGATGCCATCCAACCATCTCATCCTCTGTCATCCCCTTCTCCTCCTGCCTTCAATCATTCCCAGCATCAGGGTCTTTTCAAATGAGTCAGCTCTTTGCATCATGTGGCCAAAGTATTGGAGTTTCAGCTTCAGCATCAGTCCTTCCAATGAACATTCAGGACTGATTTCCTTTAGGATGGACTGGTTGGATTCCTTGCAGTCCAAGGGACTCTCAAGAGTCTTCTCCAACACCATAGTTCAAAAGCATCAATTCTTCTGCACTCAGCTTCCTTTATAATCCAACTCTCACATCCATACACGACTACTGGAAAAACCATAGCCTTGACTAGACAGACCTTTGGTGTCAAAGTAATGTCTCTGCTTTTTTAATATGCTGTCTAGGTTGGTCACAGGTTTTCTTCCAAGGATCAAGCATCTTTTAATTTCATGGCTGCAGTCACCATCTGCAGTGATTTTGGAGCCCAAAAAATAAAGTCTGCCACTGTTTCCACTGTTTCTCCATCTATTTGTCATGAAGTGATGGGACCAGATGCCATGATCTTAGTTTTTTGAATGTTGAGCTTTAAGTCAACTTTTTCACTCTCCTCTTTCATCAAGAGGCTCTTTAGTTCTTCTTCAACTTTCTGCCATAAGGGTGGTGTCATCTGCATATCTGAGGTTATTGATATTTCTCCTGGCAATCTTGATTCCAGCTTGTGCTTCCTCCAGCCCAGTGTTTCTCATGATGTACTCTGCATATAAGTTAAATAAGCAGGGTGACAATATACAGCCTTGATGTACTCCTTTTCCTATTTGGAACCAGTCTGTTGTTCCATGTCCAGTTCTAACTGTTGCTTCCTGACCTGCATACACACTTCTCAAGAGGCAGGTCAGGTGGTCTGGTATTCCCATCTCTTTCAGAATTTTCCACAGTTTATTGTGATCCACATAGTCAAATGCTTTGGCATAGTCAGTAAAGCAGAAATAGATGTTTTTCTGGAACTCCCTTGCTTTTTTGATGATCCAGTGGATGTTGGCAATTTGATCTCTGGTTCCTCTGCCTTTTCTAAAACCAGCTTGAACATCTGGAAGTTTGAAGTTCAGGTATTGTTGAAGCCTGGCTTGGAGAATTTTGGGTATTACTTTACTAGTTGTGAGATGAGTGCAACTGTGTGGTAGTTTGAGCATTCTTTGGGATTGCCTTTCTTTGGGATTGGAATGAAAACTGACCTCTTCCAGTCCTGTGGCCACTGCTGAGTTTCCCAAATTTGCTGGAAAACTGAGTGCAGCACTTTCACAGCATCATCTTTTAGGATTTGAAACAGCTCAACTGGAATTCCATCACCTCCACTAGCTTTGTTTATAGTGATACATCCTAAAGCCCACTTGACTTCAAATTCCAGAATGTCTGGTTCTAGGTGAGTGATCACACCATCGTGATTATCTGGGTCGTGAAGATCTTTTTTGTATTGGATCAGCATTAGGTATAGATTAAATTTAGATAGTGTATTTAAGTGTCAAGGTAAATTATATTTGAAAGGAGGGGAATTAGTTTCCTGTGAAAACAGACTCTGGTGTATCTCTATCTTTTTTTTTATGTTTCTGCTAAAACATAATTAAAACGTTCCTGAGCTAATCGTGGGCTTCCTTGGTGCTAATCCTATTAAATTCCCCATTCAAGAGACAGGGAAGTGAACTTGGCTCCCATCTAGGGACCTGAGATGCTGCCCTCTTTGATCCTGTAATATTCTAGTTGCACCAGTGTTGTTAGATTGTGATCCCAGACCAGATTAACACACTTACCTTCAGGTGTGATGGTAACTGGAAACATCTAGCTCTCTGAGCTTCTCCAGGTAGCGGCTCTGAACACACCTTGTCTCATCCGGTTTCCTGATGTGACTTCCCCAAATGCCTGGAGTAACAGTGGAGGGTATGGTAAGGGTACCAACTAAGGCAGGGTATAGGCCCACCTTGGTCATCTTTTAGGTGTAGTCCTTGGGGCAACTCTGCATCAGATCCCCTTGTGGCAAGTTCCTTGGGGAAGTAGGGCCACTTCCTCTGGTGTCAATATAATTTCTCTCTCTGACCAAAGGACTCTGGATGTGCCCCTGAGGTCCTGCTAGCTCCTCCTTGCCTCTCAGGTAACCCTTTATGAGTCTGAGTAAAGATAACCTAACTGATGTAAGCTCTGCACCCCGGATCTCTGTCTGCCCAGCTGGGTTGTATGTGTGTTAAGTCGCATCAGTCATGTCCGACTCTGCGACCCCATGGACTGTAGCCCGCCAGGCTCCTCTGTCCATGGGATTCTCCAGGCAAGAATTCTCCATACCCTCCTCCAGAGGGTCTTCCTGACCCAGGGATTGAACCCTCATCTCCTATGTTTACCTGCATTGGCAGGCAGATTCTTTACCACTAGCGCCACCCGGGAAGCCCAGCTGGGTTAGGTAATTACAAACACAGCCCAGGGAAGCTTGACTTAATGTCAGCAAGGGCTCCCTACATTTCTCTGCTCCACTGGGGACTCAAATTCTTTATCAGACAGAATTAGAAAACAAACTTCTTTGTTCCTGAGGTTCCCAGAGAGCTTCAGGGCAGTTGTCTAAGGGCTAGAACGGAAGTGACCAGCCTTTTAGAGGCTTTTGTGAACAGAGACAACTGGGACATCAGCATTTCAACCCCACAGAAGGCAAGGCAGTGTGGCTGCAGAGGGAAGAGGGAGGTGACGGTGAGGGGAGGCAGGGGAGAGGCAGGAGGTGCTGGCAGAGCTGATCACACAGGTCTCTTCCCAGCTCTGAGCTCAGTGCATTCAGTGACATCACCTCGGGAGCTTGAAGTGGGCCACAGTGGGTATGTTTACACCACAGAAATTGCCCAAACACTGTAAACCAGGGCTGTCCCCTAACACACACACACACACACACACACACACACACACACACGCCAGGGCTGTCCCCTAACACACACCGACACACCCACACGGAGAACAGACCTTTACACCACAGAAATTGCCCAAACACTGTAAACCAGGGCTGTCCCCTAACACACACACACACACGCCAGGGCTGTCCCCTAACACACACCGACACACCCACACGGAGAACAGACCTACCAGCTCACCCTGCACCTGACCCGTCCTGCATTTGTTCTGAGCCCTCCCCAAGCCTGACCCTGTGCTTAGTCAGGGCGGTGTGATCTCCCAGCCCCACAACATTCCTACAAGTTGGATAGAACAGAGGTGAGCTGGACAAAGTAAGCCCCCAGAACTGGTCGATTCCTGCCCCACCCGGATATCCGGCTTCGTCTTGGCTGCTTCAGCCTATCCACTTATGTCTCCACCGCGGACCTTCGGCCCTAGGCTGAGGTGGTCTCCACTGGAGCCTCCATGGGAAGCAGCTCCGTGAGAGGGCTGATGACCACCCTCCCAGCAGGGGTGGGCAAGACGGCCAGGTGCCACCGCTCAGAGTCGAGGAAGGTAGCTGGCCCGGGGGCGGCGGCGGGGGGCCGACAGGGCTGGCCCTCGGGGCTGGGGCTTTGGGGGACTTAACGCAGGCTCTCGGAATCACTGCTGCATGTGGAGAGACCGGCTCAGCCCTGCTCCCAGGCCGAGGGAAGAAAATGGGTGGTCAGGCTGGGACAGCGCCTCCCAGAGGACGTGAGGGGAGTTTCTCCACAGACAACGCATTTCCCGGCAGTCCCCGCGGCCGGGGGGGCGGAGCTCCGACCTCCCCCTGTGCCTCTGGGGGCGGGGTTCCAGCCTCACTCTGGGCCCCTGGGGGGGCGGGGCTCTGGCCTCACCCTGGGCCCCTTACTCACCCTTCGGCTGACCCCACACCGCGCTGACCTGCCCGCCCCAGGTTCCCAGGCAGAGGGCTCGAGACTCCAGGCCTGCCTCACCAGGTCTGGGCAGAGGTGGGGCGAAGGTGGGGGGCCTGCGAAGAAGCGTTGTCCAGCGAGGCAGCCCCTCGTTAGTACTCCTTGGCTTCCTGCAACTGGGCCAGGTACTCCTCCTCGGGAGGGCTGTCCGCGTAGGCCCGGCCATTGTTGGGGGGCCGCACCGCGTGGTAGCGGCTGCAGTTCGCCTTACACGGGATCCAGGGCAGCGTGTCCACCTTGAAGTGCAGCTCGGGGGAGACGTCGGTGCTGACCAGGTCGAGGGCGCTGGCACCCTTGCCCCGGATCAGCAGCCGGCTGCCCGCGTCGTAGCAGCAGTGCTGGGCGGCCGGCGTGCTGCAGAGAGCACGGGCAGAAGTGGGCTGTGAGCCGGTACACGTCCAGGCGCTTGTGCGGCCGCTGGCGTCCCTCCAGCGGAAGCTGCGGCCCTGATGCTTGTCCCGCAGGCTCACGGCGCTGGACACGGCCTCCAGCGGGTACGCGCACGGGCAGCTGGGCAGGGCCCGCAGCACCTGGCTTCAGGTACTTGACCAGGAAGTCACTCTTGCAGTTTAGCCACTTCTCACCACTGCCCATATCTGCAGAAGTCAGGCGAAGGGGGAGGAAAGAGGGACCAGTCAGCCCCTGGGTGGGGTGGAGGTGGCTCAAGGGCCATACAAAGGAGTGGCTGGGAGGCACCTTAGGGGTAGGCGGGGAGGGACCCACACCCGAGCCGGGGGCAGAACTACCTGGCCAACACGGTTGGGAGAGACCACACATCACCACCTAGGCGAGCTGAAGCAACAGGCTATGACCGCATGGACAAGGGCCAAGGGGCTGGAGGAAGGGGCGGGCAAGCCCTGATGAGCTACCCTTTGTCGTTTTAGATGCTGGATGGTGGGAAAGATCCTGGGATCTCAGGGAACGAGCTGGGGCGGTAGGGGGGCAGGGACAGCTGTTTCAGCCGCCTGGTAAAATGTTTTCCTGTTTTAACCACTCTCACTGGCCCATTCTTGTTCTTAACCTCACCTTTCTCAGGCTCACTCTATCCTTCTGGGCCCCCAGCGGCCCCTCTGTCTATGCCACCCTCCTCCCCTCTCCCTCTGTTGGGAAATGTGGCCTCTCTGACCGCACAGAACAAACTGCTCCTTCCTTTTTGCTCCTGACCGTTGGGGCCCACTTGGCAGTGCTGGGCCTGTGTGTCTTTCCCTCTAAGACCCTTGAGGGCCGGGACCAGGCTTAGTCTTCTGGGAATCTCCCCTTCCAGGCTCAGCGAGCTTCTGCAGCATGGAGCACAGGAGTCAACTGCAGGGAGGCTGCTAGCAGCTGCCTGCCTCCTTGCGGGGTGCAGGTGAGCGCCAGAGACACAGACGGGGAGTGTGCTGGTGAAAGCGTGGCCTGCTCCTCGCTGCTGGAAAGGAGGGGTCCTGGACCTCTGCACCCTGGCCGGTTTTGATAGCACCTGCTCCCCAGACAGAACCTGCCAGGAGCATCCAAGAGTGACCAGGGAGGGCAAGCCAGAAGGCCCCTGTCCTGTTCTGTTCCACTGGATGATCTCCCAAGCTTTGTGGCCCCCCTCAAGACCATCTTCCCAGCAGGAATATCAGGCTGGGAAAGGCCAGTGGGCCTGGTGAGGGGTGGGGCTCAGAAGTGCTATGGTCCCTTCCAGCTGGAGGATGTGCTCTGCATCCAGGAGGCACTATTCCTGCCGGTGCAGTGAAGTTCCACCTTTCCGAGAGAGGTTCTCCTCCAGACCCCCAGCAGGCAGGGCTAGCCCCCCACACTGACTTGGGCTGAGCATGTCCATAGCATCATGGGCCAGGGGCTGCCACCCCTCACTGGGGAGGCCCAAGGGGTCCTTGTCCTCGGTGCCATGGGGAAGAGAGGAGGCCAGGCTGGTGGTGCCACAGGGCATGTCTGTGTCCCCGGTGGGCGCCAGCGCTCACTAGGCTCGCGGTGCCCGCAGCACCTGGGACGGGGCAGGACCACCATGTTTGTGAGCTTCCTGGCTCCCCTCTCCTGAGTCCACCCTGTGCAAGGCTCAGACACCCACACGCCCCGGGGACCAAGCCCCGGGTGCAAGCCACTCCCTCTGCAGGCGCTGGGGCTCATCTCACCAGGGCAGGGGGCAGGTCACAGGCGTGGGACTCGCAGAGTCCTCCGCTGGCTGCGGCCGCCACAGCTCCCACTGCAGGGAGACCAGGGGCTCCACTCCTCCAGAAGATCATAGTCTGGGTCAAGGCAGGGAGTCAGGGGTGAGTGGGCCCACAAGGCGCCCTGGTGTGAATTAGCAAAAGGCACCCCCCTCCTCGGGAGAACACATCCCTGGGGCCAGGACTCCCCTAGCAGATGAAGCAGGGGTTGAATTTCAGCTCCACTCTCCTGCTCAGCTGGGTGCCCCTATGCAGCGAACACCCGGGCAAATGCAGGAGGTGTCACAAACCCCAGCCACCCACTCCATGCCCACTCAGCAACACAGAGCAAAGCTACCTGGAGGCCACCTGATCACTGCTGGGGGGACCTTGGAAAAGCCCCCCTACATCTTTAAGCTACAGTTTTATGTCCATCAAAACCATAGTTGACGATGCTTTCCTGGCACTCGGTATTAAAGAATGTCCCCGCTCCCCACGTTAGTGACCCAGTCCTGCTCTGAGGGACCTGAAATGCACCAGGGCTCTTAGTGGAAGCCCTGAAGTACTGAACACACACGCCCGGCCCTCTCCTCATTTCCCAGGCAGGTCTGAACAGGCTGGCACCAAGTGATTAAGAAAAATCAATAGAAGAAATGTCAAAAATCATGAAAATTCTGCCTCTTAACTTACAGGACTCTGGTGAAACAGGGAAAGCCTGCTATGACTTAGTCTGAACCAATGATGAGACACTGGGGCTCTGGGAAGTAGAGCTGTAAGACTGTGAAACATGTCTGTACCCAGGGAAAACCAGAACTGCAATATACAAAAATAAAAATGCCTGTCATGGTGGGGGGGGGGGCAGGCTTCAGGTGATAATTTCTGAAGAGTCTGTGTTGTTATGTTGTTTTCTAAAATAATAATAGCCAATACTTTGTTTACTATGTACTTAGACTTTAAAAGCATTAACTCACCGCTCTCTACACTTAGTTCCATTGTAGTAAGGATTGTGCCCATCCCCACTTTGTAGAGGAAGGAAACAAGGCCCAGGGAGGTCAAGTAACTTGCCCAAGGTCACTCAACTGGTAAGCCGCAGACCCCGGATTCAGACTCATACCGTCTGAAAATGAGGTCAGTTGTGAGCGGTGGGATTTAGAATTATTTCTTAATTTGTTGGAAAATTGATAGATGTGAATAAATATATTATTAACAAATGCCTGTTTTGCTTAGGGGATCTCAGGGCTATTGTGAGAGTCAAATGTTTCTTTAAAAAAAACAAAGCCTTTGCAAGCCTTGGGTGTTACTATTGAGCAGATGATGGCGTTGGTACAGGGCCTAAGCTTCAGACCTCCACAACCACCCCTGCCCAGGAAGCTGTCACTCTTATTTCCGCTCAGGATCTCCAGGGGCAGCAGCCAGGGAGGTCAAGATGAGGGTACTCACCATAGCGAACAGGCTCCTCGAAGGCCCAGTCTCCAGGGGACAGCGGGCCCTGCTCCCAGCCTCCTGCGGCCCCGCGGAAGCCCGGCTCGTGGTCATCTCCACCGTGTTCCTCACTGTCCTCCTCCTGGTCCTCACCCTCACTGTCCTAGGGAGGGTGGTCCTCTTCCTCTTCCTGCTCTTCCCCCCAGCCGGGGCTCTGCCCTTGAGATGGGTCCTCCCTTCCTTGCCCTCCGAGGAGCCCCAGAATAGGGGCCGGAGGAGTTCCTCGGTGGGCAGCCAGCGGGGGGCGCCCTCGGACCAGCGATTGTTGGGCTCAGCCATCGGGTCCATCTCCAGCTCAGCCTGGGGCTCCGCCACCACCTCGATGGTCGCCTGCGGAGGGAGGGCTCAGAGTCAGACTCCAGGAAGGGAGATGACAAGTCTAGGGTCAGAGGGAGAGGTCCAACCCTTTCTCTAAACCAGCCTGTTCTTCTGGTCAACCTTCTTGGCCTCCCTGGGGCAACTGGGGTCAGAGCCTAAGCCCTGGCCTTGCATCAGAATTCGCGGGAGATTCCTGATGCCCTGACGTCACCCCAGACAGATTTAACTAGTGTGAGACAGGACCAGGTGTGATGGTTCTGACATGTGCCAGGTTGGAGATCCACTCGTTTATGAGACGCTAGGTTTGAATTCTGGCTCCAGCAGCCCGCAGGCTGCCCAGCTTCCGGGGCCACCGACAGCCCTGAACCTCCATTTCCTCATTGTAAGGCCAGAAAATGAGACCAAGTGTAACAGCAGCCTGGGGAAGGGCTCTTGTTCACCACTTTTGCACAGAAAATAAGTAACATGAAATCATTTATGTGAAAGTGAGCTTTAAAAACATCACCTTGGGGCTATTATGAAGTAATATGAGGTCAAAGGACAAATTTTGGGGGGGGACAAAATATAAAGAAAAGGGAAATCACTCATATTCCGATTTTGACAGGTAACATTTTGGTGATTAACACTCCAAGTTTAGATATACAGATACACATACACACACACTTTTAAACAACTTAGAATGTGTTTTATATTTTTGTGGTCTTTTTTCTCTTTCAGTGAAAGCGTTTTGTAAGCTGTAGATGCAGGAATACACAAAATGCAGGAATTATTAGAGATTCAGGGCTGACAGTGAAGACTGTAAGGCTGGAATTCCACCAACCTCTCTCGTTTTCTCTCCCATAAAGCCCCTCTGGTGGGCAATCTACCCTATTCTTCTTCAGGGGCCTACAGCAAGGAGTGGGCCTGGGCAGGGAAGATCAGATCTTCAGGGCTTTCTGTTTGGCCTCTGCCCGTATTTCAGGAACCCCCTGCAGCTCAAGAAACATTCTCTGCTCATTTGGTCCTCATGACAGCCCTGACAGATTGGTGCTGTTTGCCCCTTGCTATGGTCTAACCAGACATGATTAGTTAGCATCACCAACTCAATGGACATGAATTTGAGCAAACTCCAGGAGATAGTGGAGGACAGGGAAGCCTGGCATACGGTAGTCCATGGGGTTGCAAAGAGTCAGACACAGGTGAGCCACTGGACAACATGGTCTAGGCAATAGAGGCCGGGAGAGCCACGTGATGGTCTGCAGCTAAGAAGTGAGGAAGCCTGACTTCTCCTACTCCACAGGTGGGGCATGGGAGTCACCTTGTCTGACCCACACAGGACCCCCGTCCTCCACGGAATACAGGATGAGATGCCTGACTTCAGAGCTGAGCTGTTGAGCCTAACTTCTCTCCAGAAATCCTCTAGGTTCATGGCCGCCCCTGTAGCCCTCAACTGGATGTTGGGGTTCAGGGCACTCAAGTCTGTATTGGCCAATCCCAGCAATTTCTGCAGCTCCAGCAGCAAGGGAGTGCCCTCCAGGGTCCTGGGTGAGGGCGTCTTGTCTAGGACCAGGGGTGCTGATTCAGGGAGCGCCTGACGTTTGTGTTGACATGGCCCTGCCTGGAGGTGGGCCCTGGAGAGCAAGAGGGGTCTCCTCCTCTTTTCTGGGAGAGCTAGGATCTGGGGAG